GACTGTTGCGTAATGACGCCAACAGTGACATGGGTATTAGCAACACCAGAAGCGGTAAGCTGATGTGTAACGCCGGTGTCCACCATCATTGCGGCCCTGGACATTTCAAGATGATTGAGCTTCAATTGACGGTGCTTCACTTCAATTATTTTTTTACCCCACCTGACAGCTGTAGCAAAGGAGTACGTATGTACTGTTTATAAGATAAGATACCTAGCCCTGCATCCTATTGTCGTTGCACGAACATTACGGTCTACATTAAAAACAGTGCTGAGACCTGGCGTAGATCTTTAGCCGAATACTTCATTACAACGCAGAATGCTGGTGTTCAATTTATTTTGGAACCATGACATTCTATCGGTTCGTTAGGACAACACCTGCTTTATTTCAATGCCAGTGCAAACGTGTGCTTCTCAACGGGAGCCATCGGTACACCTTTGTTTAGGGAGTGGTAGGGATGCGGAGCTAAGTGAGGGGTCGCGTTGCTCGCGTCACACGTACGTCTGAGCGCCTTGTCCCCAAAGATGTGATAGACGTGCCCCCCACACCAATATCATACGTCTGTCAGATTCGTTCTTTCATGTTGTTTCTTTCTGCCTTGAGACAATGCCACAGCTGCCCTGTCACAGTGCAGTGCGTGCAGAAACGTTACAGTAACGTTTCGCTATTAGTTGCCCGCTTAGCGCCACCAAAGGTGACATGCTATCTCAAAACACCGAATATTTCACAAAGCCAGCGTGACGGCCAATATTGCAAACACGAGGAAAGCAAGACACCGCCCTACATATCTGTAGACAACTGAACAAAAAATTACTTCATATGATTTCCGTCATGAGGCACTGTATGGGGGGCTACTCTACCTCATGACCGCAAAAAACACCCAAAGGCTAGAGCGGGAAACAGCTAAAAGAGAGGGTGGCGAACAGCTGGATCAGGTGCAACTGGCTGGCATTAATAAAATAGAAGATGTGTTGGTTGGCACAATGCTACTAATGGCAGGTTCTAATGGTGAATACACTTAGCGCCTACCTACTTGGCGTCCATCACACCCACAAAACCGAAAATGAACACCTTCACGATGGCAAAAAAAAAACGTGTATAAAACCAGCTTTAGCTGTACATCAATCAAGTATACGGCAGCACAATACATAATCTCTGTGCCGGGAGTTCATCCGCCCGTCTGTTTATTTGTTAGTTCATTATACGAGTTGGTGACTGCGGAATAGACATTATGGACCTTGAGCCTATAGCTTCGCCCACTCATCGTGACTCACTTCATGGAGATGCGTTCTGAACGCTCTTGAGCTAAAATTACCCGTGTTTTTTGGCGCCGTTCTTTGGCTGATGTAAGCATTCAATCACCTTCAGTGCATTGCGCCTAACTACAGTTGGTGTTAATTTGACGTGATGGCTGTATAGTAGTACTTCGTAAAGTTCATGAAATGGTATAGCCATCACTGGCCTACTGTTGTAGTATAGGGGCCAAGGCACTCGGCTGCTGACGTGCAGGTCGCGCGATCGAATCCCGGCTCTGGTGGTTGCATTATCAATGGAGGTGAAAATTCTATAGGTCCATGTGCTCATACTTTGGTGCGCGTTAAACGACCCGGGTGGTCGAAATTGCCGGAGCTCTACACTACAGTGTCTCTCATAATCATACGGTGGTTTTGAAACGTTAAACCTCACTTTGCAACCAATTTGTGGATAGTCATCACTGCATCTCCACTGGACGCTTCACGAACATTAAGGCCTAACTGAAACGTAGTTGTGAGTCCTAGGATGACTCCGTGCACTCTAAAAAAATATCGAGTAAAAGGGGTGTCAGTTTGTCCCACAACAATAATCGTCATCAGGCTTGCATGCGCTTCCTTCCTTGAAAACTCAGCGCTGGTCACTTTCCTATCGAGAATAAAATGTAACCCTGATAATGGGAATGTCGATCGTAACCGGAATGTACCGGGCGTGGGGCGATAGCACAAGGATAGAACGAAATATAGACGACGATTATTGTTGTGGGACAAAAAGACAACCTTTTTACTCGCTCTTTTTTTATAGTGTGGTAGAATACTTCATTGTATGGGTGAATGAATGGATGTATGAACTTCATGAGGAACTTTGGAATGTGCCTTAGCACGTTGCGGGCCACTCCTACACTAGAACAGAAAGACAAAGTCTGTCTGCTGCATCATCATTTCATTGCCATGAATTATTCTTGGATTAGATACCTGCTGAGGCCCTGACGCGTTTTTCTAGCCCTCGTCAGGTGAACGCTGCCGATGTCCTCTTTGTCTTAAAGCTCACGCGTGAAAGTACCCATGCTTGTCCTCATCGTGGCTGGGTTGATATAAACTGTCAATCAGCTATTGCACATACCTGCATACCAATGGCACATGAGTCCCCACGGAGATGTGCTACTCGTATGGCGGAAAAGGTTTGACGCTGTACGCGAATAGACTGTGATATATTCAAGTCATGACCAGCGAGTCATATGCATCCAATCATCTTAGCTTCCCATACTAATATTGAATTACACCAAGTTAAGGGTTGATCATGAGAGCACCCACACGTAGAGGACTGGATAGGTAGGTAGATAGACACCGAAATGGTAGGCAGGACGGAAAAAATGCTTCATGCGAAATAAACGAAAATCGCCTTCATTTCTAAAATAATATTCAGATTTCAGAAACAAGCAGTACGGTGCATTTGCCTTCAGGTGACTGGCCCTGGAGGGAACGTTTGAAATAGAATTCTTTGTCGCGGAAGACACCTATCAGTGACACTAAGTGCCTTAGTCGCTGAGAAACTGCGCTTATTTCGTTGAATTGCTTCAATGAAGCAAAAAGACAACGACTACGTAGTTAGGCATTATGAATAGGTTTTTAGCCAATGGGGAGCACTTTGGATGTGGTATGCACTCGAGGACTGAGTACATATGGGGAACTAGACTACAGGGAAGCAAGCGGAGTGATTCTCATTGTGGAGCCAACAGAAATGACTAGCTTTCAACCATGAAGCCGTTATTCTAATCACATGTTCTGGCACCTGATGGCATTGTAAGCTTGTACCATGCAATATTACGGACATATTACGCATAGCGTTCATACAGGATGCGTGTGTTCGTTAAGCATGGAAGTTTTTTTTTTTTTGCTTCATTTCCAAACAGACGCGTGGCTGTGGGGTAGCACACCTGGTTTTCATGCGAATGACCTGAGCGCTTCACTTGGACTCAAATTTTTTTATTTGTTTTATTTCCTTTTCTTTCAAACTTTCGGTCATGGACAAGACATTGCACTCACAACCCATAACGGCCACGCCAATGACGATGCGAGAATTTCTGCGAAACAAGCGCTTTATCGTCATCGTGTTGATAAAAAAAATAAATGGAAATTTTTAGGCAACCGGAATGCTACAACCACCCAAAGAAGCGCCACACCTGCTTGTGAAAAAAATAACAACAAACAGCATACTGGTTGCCCTGGCAGGAATTGCAGTAATTAAGCCTTCTTTAACGCTAGGAGATATTGCCCTGTATTTGCAGACGTAGAATCATTCGCGCTGCTTTTTCCATGACGACATCTAAAACCGGATGGTAAATATTTAGGTCGCTACTTTATCGAGTGAGTGACCTTGTATGCTGCCGTGTTTAGAAAGATGCAAGTACAGAAGATTGGTAACATGCGCATTACGGTTGTCGAACTGTATGAAAAACAGCGCTTCACTCTGATATACCGAATATGCTTTAGCAGAGTGTGACCTTGGGCGATTCAGTGTATAGCCTAATAGAATATTTTCGGCGCAACAGATACAAGCAAGCGAAAAAAAAGGAGACAGGGCAGGGCACCACATTGGCGCCCTATTCTGTCTCCATCTTTTTGTAGTGCTTGTATCAGTTGCCCCACCAATATTTCATTATTATTTATCGAAGTTTTCAAGCTGAGCATTGAAGATTGGCGCAGTTTCTCGCATAGCACATGTTTGCTTGAGCTAAAAAGCTTGTGTGTGTCCACTTTAGTTACACGCGTGTAGCGTCGTAGAATCATTCAGGGTGGGCACTTGTGCCCTGCAAGTGCAACAAGCGTCTTCTCAGAACTAGTGTGAAAGTCGGCGCCTGGAGAGCACAACCTTTTAAATCTAAGTGCTAGGCTGAATGGGATGTTCGTCTTGTGGCTGCATTCAAAATGCAGATACCTGGGCCTGGCCGTCTGTTTTTTTAAAGCTCTGTTGTTGGATTAGTATTAGACAAGAACACAATGACGTCGAGAATACTTACAGAATATTTTGAGTGGGCTGGCGTGAAAGAGAGTGATATATGAGCGTCATTAAAGTATGCGAAGAAAGACTCGTTCAGCATTTATATGGTGCCATATGAGAAAAATGTGGGCGATGAAACGCTTTTAGTGCATTGGAATTTGTACTCTTTTTTTCAAGAAACGTTTCAGTTGGGTCCCAAGAAGGCAGCCGTACATTGTAGCATACTGCAGCTTTTCTATAAAAAAACTTCCCTGAATTCATTGAAGTTATTGAGTGTGATGACTAACGGAGAGGTACGAGGCATTTGCCGGACGTAGAAGCCCGGCGACGGCGCACGAGGAGAAGAAAATCACCCGCGGGCACGCACACCAGCCACGTCGGCGCAGGAGATTGGTCGGAATGAGGCCCATGACATGTGACCTAAAGTTTGATGAAAAATTCCAGAGGATGAGCTCTCAGAGGAGGAGTACAGTGTATTTTCACTTATCCGAAAAAAGGCTCCCACTTTGTTCTATTGGTGCCGCATGCGCGCCACTGAAATACAATGATAAGAAATAGAGGTGATTGGCTGCTCATGCGATGTAGATTTGCGCATTCATTTTCATAAGGAATTTTGTTCACTTCGTTGAGTCTAATAAATGACTGTTGTTACTTCAATAGAACACCGTTCAATGAACGGTGATGGTTACGCAATAACTAAGATGAAACAATGTCACTGTGTTCTCAAATAATATTTTTGTGCATTACGTTTTATAACTGTTGAATTTAATTTTCTTGACTTTTCATAATCAGTATTGGTAGTTTTGCACCTTCATGAACTATATTCTGGCAGTAATCATTGTAGATTCCACGTCCCTTCTGTGGCAGTTTTTTGAATTTTCGAATGCAGTCAGTGTAACGACGGGACTCGATAGAAGAGTTCCAAACACGAACATCGAACCAGGTCCACCGCCCTGTAAAAACAAGAATATTTGCTATCTGAAAGCCAGCGCAATGATGAATGCCTCTGTGTTGCGAAATCTTGATATTGTAATAGGTACTGTTACCTTTTTCAACAGGATTAAAACGAAATCCCATGGAGAAGAGAAGCATAACTGAACCGTGTCCTGAGAACAGTTGCCACTTTCAATATACATCACATAACGATACCACGCTATTGTTATGTGAGACATCGTAATGGAAGTGTCTGTAAATGCTGACCACCTGGTGTTCTGTAATGTTCATGTCGCGTGGACTTATCGTTGTGTGTGACTATGGTACCGAGTCGTCGGGGTCTAGCAATTCAAGCTGACGCTTTGTGGGGAATGATGCATGTACTTTATTACTTTTGTAGCAAATTTCTTGCCCTTCTTCGCTTTCTAGAGCTATAAATGTTTCCCTCCTCGCCTTTTCATTCACTATTGAACGTTATTAGACTAACCATAGATGTAATCACTGCTAGGTGTATCTGACTGAAGGCAGTGGGGCACTGTTTACTTCTATATTTCTACATATTTATATTTTTATACCTTTATCTATATTTCTACTTCTATATTTGCCAGAGTTTTAATTACTACTCCAAAACGCGCACAAAATAGAATGCAGCCTCAAAAGCAGCGCCAATCTAGTCCTTAGCAGTAGAAAATTTTCTGGTGTAATTTTCATGCACTCCCACCACCCGCAACTAGCAACGCCAAAGTAGCAGTGCTACGCCTCGAAATCAGCAATACTCCGATTATGAAGCTAGTACTCTCCGATTTCAGCGAGAGAGGCAGAAGTTGGGAGAGGATGAAAGTGTGAAATGGAGGGTCATCCAGTGCACTAAGTGGGCCTAGGATTGTAAGGTCAAAAGTTTAAAACCGCGTGTGTGTACTTTTAAAGAAAAAAAATGACTTTCAAAGAGGTAAGAAAGAAGTCCACATCAGCTACGAGTCAGTTGAAGTTGAAAGCTGATAGGCTGTCAGGTGGTGTTCTATAGTGCAAAGAAAGTGCAACAGAACCGCCTACGTATAGACAGCGCAGCATTGTAGCATGAAATGGCAAACATTGGTTGAAATGCAGGTGGCGGGCTATTCATAATTGCATATTTACTTAAAACGCGTGATAAAGAATCGTTTGAAGAAAGAAAAAAGGTCTTGGATGTGGCCTCACTGGCGACCACCTGTCAGTAATGCACTTCCTCACCAGAACGGGATTGGCCACACTGGTGCAGTACTTGGCCATTAACTCCCATGGCTACCACAAATAAACATTGCCGTTTGGTGTACAGCGGCTGCAAAGACTGCCCAAGGCGGTGTTAAGACCTGCGACGCAGTGGAGGGAGCTAAGGTGCTCTGGTTCCGGACAGGCCGCCATTGGAATCTGACCTTGGCTTGGGTCAACGCTAGAACACCACCTAGTGAGTCTAGTCCAGCTGACTTATTCGAGGAATTAGTGGGTGTTCAATGGAGAATAAGCTCAGCGAGGTTGGGAGGACTCGTGAGGCTTATACAGTGCTGAAGAACAGACACGGCCTATGCTACCATAGATATATTGACCGGAAAGAACTAAGGACGGGGTTTATTATACACAAGATTATTTCTGGTAACATAGAGAAATAGAATACTACAGCGTGAGTGAGAGGGCGGCAAGTACGATAATTAAGTTTAACAAAAGGTACAAGATAAAGGTGGTACAGGCCTACGCGCCTACATCGAGCCATGATGACCATTTGGTTGAGCGCTTCTATGAAGACGTAGAGTCCGCCATTATTGAAGTAAAGTCACAGTATAAAAATCTGATGGACTACTTTAATACCAAAGTAGGCAAGAAACAGGCCGCAGACCATGCAGTTTGGGAATATGGCATCGTCTCTAGGAATGACAGAGAGGTATTATTAGGGGCGTTCCCAGAACGTAATAATTGCGGGATCTTGAATACCTTCTTCAGAAGTCACGTTAACCCTAAGCGGACGTGGCGAAATTCTACTGGCAAAACTAAAAATAAAATAGACTTCATTGCCCCACTAGAGTGGTCTAATTACCAAGGTACTCGGCTCCTGACCCGCAGGTCGCGGCATCTAGTCCCGGCTACGGCGGCTGCATTTCCGATTGGGGCGAAAATGCGCTAGGCCCGTGTGCTCAGATTTGGGTGCACGTTAAGTGACCCCAGGTGGCTAAAATTTCCGGAGCATTCCACTACGGCGTCTCTCATAATCATATGGTGGTTTTGAAACGTTAAACTTCACATATCAATCATCAATCGAAACAGACTTCATACACCTGAAATAATTTTTGGTCCAGAGTAAAGCATTTTGGCAATACGCTAATGGCACCAATCCCATTTCACTAAATGGTAGCGTGCTATAAAAAATCCTCAATATTGATTATATTCTCCATACTCGAGGCAATATAAAATTCACGAAAAATTTAAGCTCGTAAAACTTAGTTTAGGTAAAACGCCTACGGTTGTTCGAAAGACAAAAGTTCGTCTTCACCTAATTTAGCAAAACAGATTTTTCGATACCCTGTTTATTGAGCTTGGTTTCGGGCTTGGTATATTCTTTTCGCAAAAAAAATGTTTTTGAGGAACACTGTTGGCTTAGGCGGATAGCTTGAATTTTTTTAAGTAAAATAATTGCAGATGCTCGAGCGCCAATGTTGGGACAGTTAGCGTAGAATGACCCAAATCTATAAGTTTAACGAAAAGGTCCGCTCTTTGTCACGTTCATGCAGTAAAAAGCATATGAAAATAATAGCTCATTTTCCCAGGCCATTAGTTAAGGAGCGAATCAGAGAGGAAGGAAATCTTGGGCTGCACAGATAGATGTAAAGGTTGCTGCGCCGTTTGAGCAAAATAGTTGAAAGTGCCTGAAAGGCATGCGAAGTTGAGATTTTGAACTGAAAGTGGGGAAGAGGCTACGAACCGGGTTTAGTATTACTATGCGTGTTGGCAAAATGCGATAAATGCTGCACAAAAGTCACTCTTACAATCAACACTACGAAATACAATTCCAGGGCACTGTATAGTGTGTTCTTGCCGATAATAACTGAAGACAAGGCATGCTCTAAGCGCATATCTGGTGTTCACAGGAAGTTTTCCAACAGTGAGCGTCGGAAATCTTTAAGCCATATGAGTCACAGTGGGTTGCTCATTGCGGAAAAATGTATGGAACTGGATGCATATACTTCCTTACATTTCAGCGGGAGGGCGCACATCTGTATTGATGGTGCTGTGTTCGATTTTCTCGGCGCAGAGACGCTCAAATATAGACCGGCCTACGCCTTATACAAGCTACTTGTGCTCTGTTTCAAAAAAAAATGGCATGCAGGAGTAAGGAGAAATTGAAGCTTGCGGTCATAAATTTGTGTAAAAGGTTTTTGTGCCGCACAAGAAGTTTCGACAAGCGGATTGTCTACGTCACGGCTGCTAATGCAACTTGAAATTTCAGCCTTGAAGAAGACAAGTCCGTAAGGGGAAACGTCAGCTTCATCAAACGAAACCTGCTTACAAATGTTTCACTGCTATTTTGTCGATGTACGGTACACCTGACAAATCAGAAGTAGACAATGCTGTTAAGAAAATCAATGGCAAGGAAACTGAATGTAATGATTTTCAGCAGTTCGCTTGGAGCCTCAGGTAACTGCAGTTGATATTTCGTTATGTAAAGAGATGTACTTCGTAACGCAATATATTGAACCAAACTACATAAGCTGAGTAAGAGTGCTAGCTTGGTTTTCAACTTTACAGGTTGGAACAATTTGAAGGCAGAGAACATGCAAACAACCACCAATGGAGGACTTGTAGGAGACAGAAGTGAAGAGGAGGGGAAGGAAGTAAACGGAAAGGGAGAGAGCTGGTAGGTTAACCAGAAAGATTTCCTGTTCGCTACCCTACACTAGAAGATTAGACAAGTGAACTAGAAAACTGATAAACAGAGAGGAGGGTAAAGAACGAAAATCAAAAAGAAGGCCGGGACAGCAAGTTCACTACAGCGTGTGGAACTCCGCCGCAAGTCACAGGCGTTCACACAAACTCGTTGTCCTCAAAAAACACAAGAGGACTTTCCTTGCGTTTTGGCTATTCAGATATGTGAACGGTGCTGTAATAGCACCGGTACAGAAAATGGCCGATCATCCATTAGCCGCAATACACTGGCAACTGCTTTCTCTCCCATTCAAATAAATGACAGGGGCACAGCAGGTCTTCAGTATGGTTGTCGGTGTCGCCAATATTGCACGTCGCAATATCTGTCATTGCGATTCACAAGATATATGCTTACGTGAAGGCAACTCTTAGCCAAAAGCCATAGAAAATCGAAGCTCCATATCGATGTAAACCATATGGAGGCTGTAGTTGTAGTGAAGTGCCAAGTTCATATAGTGTGGTACGTCGTACGTTTGGTGCGTTTCACTCAGTGAACAAAGAATCGAATAAAACATGAGGGTGCCCGGTAAGACGTTGGATTGAACTGGTAGCGTGTCGGATGTCACATATAAGTATAAAGAGTATACTGCACCCTCAGGAACACATAGTCCGGAAAATCTATCACGTGAATTTTCGGCTGAGAGCCAGAATGACGCCGTAGGCATCATTCCCTCAACAGCGACGGTGGTGCAATAGGAAAAGAGTTACTGCTAGAAGCTGAAGCTGTAGTGGCAGGTTCCATGGCTACTAGGCCATAAAGACAATATCGACAAGCATCATACGGAGCTGAAATAATCAAGATATATTTAACAAGTTTTTTGATGTTTACAGGTCACATTTGCGTACAAGAGAAGTTTACTACTATTCACTGGCACTATAATATGCACTACTTTCCTTTTTTCGCAGCTATCTGAAAGCAGACTTCTTACAAACGGAATGTTTAAAATGTGCGTTGAGAATGTGCGGCTGTACGTGGTATGTTCATTATTGAAAATCGTGGATGTTCAGCATGACATGTTTCGAAACATAAAGTAATAAACATATTTCTATGTCTCTAACTTATTGCTTTAATAATTAAGGTAGAACGTTCTCTTCGTGTGTAAAAGAGAGCATTTCTTTCTGAAGTACTCATCGTAGGATTCAGCAAGCTTCAGTTTTTAAGCAATATTCTACAAAAATACTAATTTGAATGTAAATTATTCTAGCGTATTTGAAAATTAGGTGAGAGTAAATCTAAACGTCTGATTAGAAAACTCACCGGGATAAGGTGCAGTGATCATAAAAACAGCACATTTTTGGATCCAGTTCAAATAGACAATTTCTTCTGAAATGTTGTAATTCAGTTCTGCAAGTAAAAGTATAAGGCTATAACTTTTTTCTGTGTGTGTGCGGAGAAAAGCACACAAGGGTCCATGCGCCAGTAGCCTTGTGTGCATCGAAGGTCCCCAAGAAATACTATCGCAATATTTTCGTCGAAAGTCCCCTACAAAGACTATCGTCTTTAATGAACACGCAGAGACATCCACCGCTGCCAAAACTAGGAATTTCATACCAATAGCTTTCGCCGAAACGCTGCAATAATGCCCATCCTTAGTTGTAGTATAGTTCGAGCTTAAAGGGGGCCCTGAAGCACTTTTCTAGCATAGTCAAAAAAACATTGCCGATTGGTAGTAGAGGCTCCCTAAAACATGCGAACCAAATAGTACAGCGCTGCACGTGGCCTGGAGTTCACAACAAATTACAAAAGTCACCTAAAAATGCTTTCTCTTCTCTCGAAAAAATGATGCAATACTCTCAAAAATCACTTGTAGAAAGCCCATCTATTAGCCATCGGCTGATTTGAACATCACGCGCTCGGTCGTTACAAAGATCACTGCGGGAGACTGCGACTTGTCCACGCGTGCGCGTGAAATAACACTGAAAAACCGGGTAATCGAAGAAAAAAAGGAGAAATAGTGCTCAAGGTCATAGGGCGCACGTGATGTTTTTTCGTTGCCCCTGCCGTCCTTCCTTGCTTAGCTTCCAGTTCTTTCATCGGGACGAGAGAAGGGAGAATGCGATTGCAGCATGCGACGAATCTTTGTAACTCCACTCGCATTGAATGGGTTATACAAATTTTGGCGGCGTGGAGTTCGTGAGGCAATAAGCTCTTTTAGTGAATTCATTACATAGTTACTTGAAAAAGTGTTTCAGGGCCCCTTCATCATTTAGAAAAAAATTTGTTTACCAGCATTTTTTTTAAATCTCCAGCGTTTCTGCCAGTGAAAACGTATTTGACCAAGTAGCAAGTGATAGCTTCATTGAAATACGTCGCCTCTATTGAAGTGTGAAAGTAAACGCAGCGTTTCTATTCAAGAAATGGAGCAAAGCTTCAGCGCAGTGCTCCCCTCCCTCTAATGCCAATGAACGGGACTGACCTTGCGGCCCCTCTAGCATTTTGCCTGTAGGTCAATGTTTGGACTGGTTTTGTGCCCTCGCCCCCCCCCCCCTTATCGCACCATCTGCCTGCCATTCCTCATGTGCACGCCTATCGCACCTCACAAAAATAATTTCCTGCGTGTGGAATGTGCTTAGCAGATGAATGAAGATGTTGCAAGCTTGATGTTTCACCAGGGTTGATGAGGAACAGAATAACGTATTTGATTTACCTTTTACATGAATGAACATGCGGGTCTTTTTGTTCTCGTCAAATCTTCCCGTTATTCTGACTTTCTTTCTGCAAAGCAATAAAGAAAATCGCTAAATGAGACTATGATTTTGTGCAGTAGCCACAGTTTTGAACATCACCGTACTTCATCCAATTTTCGTACCACAAGTGAAGGTACGTTATATGAGATTTGCTTATAGTCATCAGCAGGTCCGCTTCACATTGTGGCTTTCCCACTTTGTCTTCGGTTGTGTTGGTTGTCCATATGGGTAGTGGAGTTTTTAAAAACTGAAAAGAAAAGTATGTGCTTCACTTAGAGCATTATCAGTCTTATAATAACTAGAGCATACATGCTTTTCATCTCACTTCTCTCAAATGTGGTAATTGCATTGCGGAGCGGAAACATATGTGTTTAACTTGTATGGTCACATTGCTTTTTCTTAGGGTTCCTGTTGCAACTGTAATGATTGGGTGGGCATGATATTTTGCGAGCACAACTGCGTGCATTGTACGTGTAGCACTACGTACGTCCAGATCCGCTTGCAAAATACACGTTCTTACACAAAGCAAGAAAAGGAAATCGAACGAAAATGGCCGGTTATTTATTTTTTCGGGATATCCAAGCATATCGAAAAATATGAAAAATTAGGGGACACTAAAGCTTCACCCTTCAGAGTTCAATGCAATAGCGATATCCTTTTTCTAGTGACTTCAAACACTTAGAGGATGAAACATTTTAGAAATTGCTCTGCACCTACTGCGGGGAATTAAGGGAATAGGTACCGTAGCGTGTGCCGTTCGTTGTAGATGACTAGCTTTAAACCACGAAGCCATTTTGATAATCACGTGTGCTGACGCCCGCTGTAAATGAACACTTGTACCACACACTTTTTACTGCAAAACTTCATGTTGCAAAGCGGAGCATGTATACAAGATTCGAGTGTTTGTAAAGCATGACTGCTACTTCCACTGCATTTTTCAACCAGAAGACGTTGTTTTCATTGTATTCGTAAGCAGAAGCATGACCGACTGAAAGAACATCTGCTTGCCACGTGACTGACCCAAGTTCGATCGGGACCCAAATGACCCTGGTTCGGTCCCCACTGTGACCCCGGATTTTTTATCAACCAATAATTTAATTTACATCGTTCTCAAATATTCGCTCACGCATAAGATGATAATTTTTCGCTCACAACCAACGAAACTGACGCTGACACCAACGCCGACGCTGGAATTTCTGCGAAAGGAGTTCTTTAACGCTATCGCGTTAACATATACTAAGAATATCTAGAAATTTTGGTTTTGTGATTTCCATTCAGTACCACTAATGATTATAAACTTGACATATATATTGTGTGCACCTTACGCGAAGAGAAAGAGCCGCCTAATTTGCACCTGTGCTAACATGGAAAGCATAATTTCGTGGCTGTTGTCATTACGGCAATTGAGCAAGATCCAGAAATACCTCGTAGGTGAAGAAAAAAAAAAAGCTCTGTGTAGCTGCTGTAAAGTAAGCGATAAAAATAACACTTGAAGAGAACGTTGTCATTACCACATCGATCACTCAGAAAAATGGCTAGATATTCAGTTTTTCGTACTCACAACCATACTACCTGATTAGGAGAATAGTATACCAAAAACTAATTTCACGAAATCTCTGCTCAAACACAGAGATTTTCTTAAACTAACGTCGTTTGCACTGCTTGGTTCTATATAAAGGTACTCAAAGTTTACAAAACCAAAAAGCGCTACCTTTCTGATGCCGTGTGTCAATGACAGAATGTTCCAGTCACACTTCATCATGACTAAATGAGTGCTGAAGAGAAATACTGTTATGAACTTTGTTTCCATCATCTTTTTATATTATCAACAGGCGTAATTGCATAGACACACGAACAGTGATACAGACAGTGCAGCTATCGAGAACAGTACTGAACACTGGGCGTTCTGTAAATTGACACCTAAGCAAAAAGGCGGAAAAACAATAGACCAGAAGGTGACGACAAAGACACCACCTCAAAGTTCTGCGTTTTCATCGAATTATGAATTTTCTTTTGTCTTTATTTTTTTGCGCTCATAAAAGTTATCGTATGCTACAGGTGGTGGGCGAAGCAATACTGTGATCAGCGTAATAGATTATTTGATTGTGCTTCGCCCAAGTTATTTGGAACCTACCTCCAACGATTATTGTCAGTGCAGCCAGCAAAATATAGCGGCAAATATAAATGCGACTATAAAAGCCCATTCTCCTTCGTTCGGTAGATATTATGATTCAGACGTATTATCAGGACGAAGCCCCCAAATACATTGCTCCACGAAAATTAAACTCTCGAGTAATTAGTACTTCCTTCGGGAGTGGTTAGCGTGAGGCGCCGCAATTGTGGGGTGAAAAGAGAAAAAAAAAAAGACGTTCGCGAACAACCCTCACGAGGTAGCGCAGCCTGCACCAACATGGTCATCATCGCGAACAGCCCGGTAAAGAACAGCCAGAACGCTTGATGCCCGCTTTACTTTGCCCCCACGTGTGACACCTCATTAGCTACGGGGATACAAAAAAAAGTGATTGCCATCCACGGTCGCGTTGTTTACGACCAGAACGGCGGCGGAAAATTTATTTTGGGTACTGCTGAAAAAAAAATACCACCTTGTAGTCATGGTGCTGATTGCTGTAGTAAATAGTAGCAGGTGCAAAATTTGTTTGCAGCGAAATATTACGTGGGTTTCCTTGTGCTGAAAAATTAGTCGCAGCAAGACGAAGATAGCAGATTTTAAGCGGCTCTTATGCATATTAAGTGTAACACCAGCGTAATATTAAATAAAGAAATGGACTGTTATGATGGGCAATTATTCATTGTTTGTCAATACTTTCAATAGTTCAGAATTCGTTTCAATCGGAGTGCTTTGGCGGTCTCGTGGAACAGCTGTTTACTTTGTATTCCAATTCTTGTACATATGTGATATTGTGAGCCTCGGGTACAACCATGTTAACCCACACATTTCCGGCAAAGTTGTCTTTCTACCATATTCGTCATAGTCCACGTAGGAGTCACGCTGGTCATGGAACTACAGTATGGTGAACAAATATCCTTGGCAAGGCGGTGCTTCAACTATGCTTGAAACGATCAGGGTGGTTATATGGGCACTCAATGAAATGTTTCTCCTTTCCTTTACGTCTCTACTCTCTTCAGCTTAAGATAAGAATATATGGCCAAACATTCTGTCGGTGCAAAATACTTGCACAAGCAGTGCGCACTTTGCTAAGAGACTTCCGGGTGCACTTTAAAATAACCCCAGGTGGTTGAAATTTTCGGAGCCCTCCACTACGGCGTCTCTCATAATCATATCATGGTTTTGGACGTGAAACCCCACACATCAATTAATTTAAGAGACTTCCACAAACAGCAATAGAGGACGTCAAGGCACCAGTGCGCTTTTGGTGGTCAAGGTGGACGGAAATCCACCACAGCGCTTCTATATTTGCCATCGTTTATCTCATACTTATAATGTAATATTGATTGCAGAGGTCCTGTGTGTGACTATTGCAGTCTTTCATTATCGGCTGTTTCTTGCCAACGGCTCACAATTGAAAAGGGTACGATAGCGTAATGCACCAAAACGCTGCTAAGACACAACTATGGCCAGACGGCTGTTCGCATTCACCTTACCAGTAACAACATACGCTGCTTTATATTAAAGCGGCAACGGGGGCTAGTTGGTACGTTGTCAAGCATAAATACACTGCCTTGTTGTTCGCTTACTGCAGATTCCATGCGCTCAATTTACGGTCATGAGCACCAACTAGAAGTGGTGGACTGGAAACAGGCGCACATCGACGATGCTTCTATTCGGCGTAGTCGTTCAAGCGCCGTTGGCAACAGTGCCATTTAGTTCTTAGTACCACATTGAGTCCAAGCTATCTGAATGTAGCCGGGTTCCCTTTCGGGTGCGAAGCTGCAGGGCCTAGCCATACCCACCATCCTCCCTCGATGACAATGAGGCTGAAGAAGAACAAGCGCGTCACAGACCACACATTCTTTTTGTTACATTAAGCCATAGCACATGCAAGGCACGCGCTGCACATCATGACCCATGACGATGACAATGATGACAGTGAAGAACAAGCGAGTTCCAGACCACGTACTTTCTTTCTGCCATCGTGGCACAACACATGCAAAGTACTCACTATACGCCATAACATTGACACTAATGACGTAACTGATCTCAGAAAATCACTGGCTTGTGCAGTACATGACGTCTCGATATGCTTTACGATGCATTTCGTAGGACCGGAAACAATCAACAACCACCAGGGGAACGTGCACCCACGTTGACTTTACCAAAAACGGGCTAGTTTCCATACCACAAAGCAGTAATAATAAAGGCAAAACAGAACTCACAACTCAACTTAACATACCAACAGACAAATCAAAATTGTATATCACTGTAAACCACTTTGGCACTTATTTGCAAGCGTGAGTGGTCAATGTCGCGGGTCTCTTACGGTAACACTGAACGATCAAGTTCCTTCACCTACTCATCATCATTCGCTTCACGGATATGCACAGATTTTCTTTCCTGACAACCACTGACTTTAAGCTATTGCTTGGAATTATACCAATTAGCATACAATAAATCACCGAAGTCCTCCATCATTTTGTTTGCGGCTTCATGGCACTACATCTACACCCATAGCTGAAATACAACGTAAAGGCATTCACGTTTATAGGAAAGTTAATGGGAGACACACTTCTTGGAATGAGCTCACGAGTTTTAGGGAAAAGGTATGTGTGCTTTCAGTAAGATCAAATTAAAGCTGTACGGGACGTATGAAACACATTACTTCTTTTTTTGAAAGCGTAAGTAGTATAGTGTGCAGTCATTGAAGTGTAACTTCATGCATTTTAATGATGAGGTAACGTGCCCTATGTCGCCATTACTACCACACAAGCGGCTAGTGTAAAAATTGTTATGCCATTCCTGCTGTACATTAGAAACACGCTGTATTCTGTTCGTACCACTGGATGGCAAATGTTCTTTTAGCTCCGGAATATAGGGTACGGATTTTTTTATTCTTGTTATTTCCCGACGATTGCTATTCTCAGAATACATCGAAGGCTGGAAAGAAGTCGGTACAGTGCGTTTTTTTCAACATTTTCTGAGAAATGTTTATGAAGGCAAATGACATGAATGAGGTCTCAATTTTCTAAAGAGAGTATACTTTTTTTATTTTTGCAAATGTGACTGAAAGGCAAAAGAAAAGAAGACACCACGGTGATTTCCGCAGAGTATACAGCCTACTAAGTTTATTTGGACAACTATTGTTGTTCATTATTTATTCTGCTCCGAAGTGCATGATATGTAAGATAACATCATATACTACAGGAAGCTATTGATACGTGGTGCTTTTTAATCGAACCGATATGTTGTAAATATTCTGTAGTGACCTGGGTCTCGTTATTCGCACTTGTGAACCCTTCATAAGGCGGGAATGAATCTCTGTATATTGTATGACCCTCAACCTAACCAAAAGCGAAACGCGTTAAAGAACTTTTTAATTTACCTCATGTATCTGTCAATGTGGCAAGGTTGTGACAGTTTCTTTCACACACTTCACACAACTTGCATGTAATTCCACAAGCTATCGTGCAATATTAATGAAAATATTCAGGACGGGTGCAGCCGGCGTGCAGAGTGCTCTAGCACTGTTTTAAGTGATATAAAAAGTTACTATGCTGACCAAATGAATTACAATCAAACAATGCCACAGCACCGATGCGCCAGAGTGGAGATTATTAACTAATCCATTGTTGTACTATGATGGTTTCCCAGATGAAAAAAACGAAGGACATGAACTCGTGCTAGCCAATACGTTTATTCAGTAAAAACAATGATTCACTGACACATTGCAAAGCGTGCCAAGCCACTTCGATTTATCCAGATCTCTAAGTCTTTTTATAACTTTTTTAACTTTTTAGCGGAACTGCATACCCAAGGTACCTTGTTTCTGATGAAAAGGACACTGCATATAATGTCACACGCTGTTCTTGGCTGTACATTGGATTTTGCGTCGGCATCATCGCTAGTGCCACGCTTGTGTTTCAATTTCAGTTTATACTTTATATGTAGCACAAACAAAACCATTAAAACTAGCACACACTATAATAAATTTTTATACAGAATTGGTATTGACCTCAATAATGAATCAAAATATTATGCATATTTTTTTACAATCTTTTTCGCTCTTGTTTTGGGTTAGGAGAAACCAGTAATGGCAGTTGTGCACTTTTATGAACTAAGTTTTGGCAGTCTTCGTCATAAACACCTCTTCCGTAGGGCTCTAATTTCTTGAATTTTCCAATGCAGACATGTGCATTGTTCAATGCGGTAGACAGGTTCCATACTCTCACTTCATACCAAGAGCACATGCCTGCAAAAGGCAAGCAGCAAGTGATATAATTAACCAGAGACTTTCTTGTAAAAGTTCTTTGAGATTGTTTTCATAATGCCTAAGACAATATTTTAGGACAAACACTATTAAAATGGTCGTGGCTCTGACGTACAATAAAGAGTCGAAAAAGTAACGGAGTTCATATGCGATATTTTTCAAAAATACTGAAACGCAGGAACCGAACAAAAACCGAATTTTGTGAGAGCGTAAAGCGTGCCTAATTAGTTATAGTTTCAAAAACTGTGGGAATGAAAATAGGGTAATACTGCCTGTAGCGTGACCTGAAAGAGAAACTTACGCATCGAAAATGGACCACGACACCTATCTGCTTCATTCAAACGGAGTTACATTCATTAGGCCAACCCTGTGTCATCCGTCTAGCTCAAACAAGCTAACACTATCCTATTCTATATGTTTAGTTTCTGTCCTAGTTATGTTGTTCTCGTGCCTACGTCCTACAATTTCTTTTTCAGGGCAAGTTGTCACATATTGATGGACGTCATCTTGTAAGTCAAAACTCAAATATAAAATGGCCAATTTTACTACTTCTCTCAGCTTCTTAGTGTTTTGTTCCACTTATGGCACTACATTATTGTGTCCTTTTTCTCGCTCGAAAGTGTTATATTTGAAATGAAAAACATATGAAGTCATATCTACCTCAGTGGTTACGTAGGTTTTAACCGCAATATACAATTGAGGTATTCAGAAACCGGCTATGAACAGGCGAAAAATTGTTGGAGCAGCCCCAACAATATTGTTAGTATCAAAACGTTTGTTTTGCTCAGTTTCTGTTCACACGTGGCTCCTTTTGAAAAAACGGAAATGGCCACGTATGCACTTGCCTCAAAAACCCCAGGAGCTGATCTTTCGCACTTGCCTAAATATTGTGAGTGGTATACCACAAGTAAGACTATTCCATGGTCGAGTTACTTTATGCAACCACGAGTCGCGCGCACGCGCATTGCTCTGTGAACTCTTCTAGTAAACCTTTCAAAATGCATCACTGCATCGATTGCAACGCTTTATTTGCACAGGATTCAGAAAAATTACTTTTGTCTGAGACAGAATCACTTTTCATCAGGATTGGCTCCCACAGGGACGTTTTTACAGTAGGTTTCATGTGCTTATTTTGATTAACGTGGTGTGAATCTGTCGCAAGCAGGAACCCATAGGGAAAAAAAATGACGAGGAGCGGTCAAGATTGGAAAAGGCGCGAGCACACGCACTGTACCACCAGTCCCGCGGCCCGTGACCTGAGTTGTGACTGCGCGCGAGCAGCGATGCGCTGACATTGTCGACATGGGCTTGTAAGGAGAAGGTCAAATTGCCATCAAGCGCACTTGTGACGGGAACCGCAGGACATCGACTCGGCAATCTGTGACGCGGGCGTCCCGAGAAGTAGATGAAGACATCGACTTGCTTCGAGGGAGGCTGCTCAGGATGCAGTAACCGCTCACAGCAAGCGTCAACCTTCTGGGCGCAAACCTAAGTTGGGTCACTGGGCCGAACCTACAAGGCCTCCGCCACGTCTCCGACGTCAGGCGATGACGACAACGGGCAACAACGTCGGCAGCGACAGGGACGGTGACATTCATCGAGAGCGTCTAGAAACCCGACAGTGATGCTGCGTGATTGATTCCAGACATTTACAAGCCGCGTATCAGCTGGGTCAAGTAAAGTCGGCGTGAATCGTGAAGCTGCATTTCCCTGACGCTGTTGAGGGCGGTTGCGTTTGTAGTCAAGTTCGTTGGTAACTTTGGTTTCAATTTGTGGTTAGTGGCATTTCCTTGTACATTTTTTTACTCCTATTAGAGAACCACGCCTATCTTCATTAATTGTAGTGTGGTCTTAAGGGAGTCCTGCCTCTGTTCATCACCCGCAGGCACCCAAAATATATGGCAGAATCACTGTGTAAACGAAGTGGTAATGGTAAACGTACGTATGACCTCAAGTTTTCTTTTTTCTTTCAACGTAGGCTTTGAAAATTCAAGGTAGGTTTTGAAACACAAATTCTTGAATACAGTACATGTGCTACACTTTGTGTGTGACTTCAGCTTTGTGATTTGCTTGCACGTTTAACACCACCTTGCGTGGAGAATAGCATCAGCATTTTGCCAGGAAGATTTAATTATCTGTACGTTGTAGCACCGAGAGAAACCACTTATGAGGAACAGTGCACATGGAACGTATTTCTGGCATACTGCGATACTGAGATCATTATTATTCGTAACTGCTACCAAGCAGTGAAACTCACCATAGCACGGGGTTGTGACTTTGAAGACCGCACACTTCCATCTCCAATTCAAATACAGCATTTCGTCTGTGACATTGTACACAGAGCCTGAAATTAGGAGTGGCATATACTCGTGGGCTTTACGTGAAATCACGTCATATTGTGACTTAAGAATAAAGCCACATGTGGAATTTCATCATAATGGAGCAGATCTGCTTCTCATCGATGTCGTTGGTAATTACTTTTCTTTAGCTATAGTTTGTGTACGCTTAGCTTATTTGTAAATGTGGCGCTCTTAAACCCCCCCCCCCCCTCCGCAAAAAAACTTGGCTTAAATTTAATTCTCGTTAAAATAGTTCTCACAAGCGAAAAATGTGTGTAGCTCATATTTTTAAAGTGTACCCACAAATGCTGTAATGCAGGCTCGGGCTTACACAGGGTCTCAAGGTGAAAATACCCACTGGTCAAAGTTTAGTAGCGAGAATGCAGTTGTGCACGGATCTAAACAAACGTTCATGGAGCGGCGTGCACGCGCCTGAGACCCGAAACATGACGTAGTTCGTTTCGTCGCTAAGCTCCGGTCATGGGCTCGTTTCCCCGCAACTTCAGATGGAGGTGAAAATCCTTGAGGCCCCTATATTTAGGTTTAGGTACACGTTGAAAAAACCCAGCTTATCAAAACTTCCAGAGCTCTCTACTACTTTGTCCTTAATAATCATATCATAGAACTAGAGCGTTTAACCTCAGCAATTATTATTATTATTGTTATTATTATTATTATTATTACTATTATTATTATTGTTATAGTAATTATAATAACCTGATAATCCCACCAATCCAACTACTGTTCTGATCCGTAAAAAAAGAAGAGCAGGGACAACGGGTACCTGACAGCACATCGACTGGTTCAGGTTGGCCGACTAGACGGCATTTGTTGCACTTAATTTCACCTAATCAGGCATATATCGCTGCAACGGCTACAGGGTATGCACAAAAAAACTCGCGGGGTTTTCAATTCATTCACTTAAGGCATTGACAAGTTGACAGCCACCATCTTTTTTTTCTCCGCCATTGTATTGATCGTCCCAGGTCAGCCTGTGAAAGTTTTCGGTGCCTAATGTCATTGTTCACTGCCTCCAAGATCAGAAGACCCTCACCTGATTTTAAATCGCTTCCGTTGTTGCTCTATCTTCCACCGAGCTGAGGTACCATTGGGTGACGTCACTATGCCACGTGGCATCATGATGATTTCACAAACTTCAGAGAACTGCGATAACATTGCGAAGCTAAATGGTGACGTCATCATGGGTTGACAATTTCTCGCATGCCTTTTCACCGACGCCATGGAACGCCAACGGTCCACATTCGTGTTTGGTGACGCATCCAAGGCTTTTGCTCCAATGAAATAAGAGAAGCATGTGAGCGTGTTTTGGAGTTTTACATGCTGTGATGCCGTGCGTGATCTGATTGGGGATAGCAAATTCAAGATACGAAGAGGGTACGCTGTACATGGCGCAAGGAAGACGCTCAACTAATGAGTACCCTTCATGGTGCTAGAGATACAAAAAACGGAAGCAGCACGGCAGGTGGGGCTGGAAAAAGATTGTATCCAGAGTGCGGTAGTAGCAGCCAGCCGTGTATCTGGCCGATGCTCGCTGCAGGCACCTTTCTGACACTACATCAAGATTCTCTCTGACAAGTGGCATTTCCACATTGTCGCAGAGACCTGCTCTCCAAGCCTGCCTGTGTCTCCACGATACATATCATGCTTCGTTTGGCGAATGCCGAAAGAGTCTCCAGTCATTGCCCTCCACCGGGTCTAGCATCCGCAGTCATATCTGCTGTTGTTAGTGCTGCTGGGCCGACACACCATATGCCATCACTGTCTGCATTTAGCCTTCATTCTACAGCGTTTGTGACTTTTAGATGCGAAGCAGCTTCTGGACTAGCCTGAGTAACGCTCTCCCTCCATGCGTCCGTATGGACGCACCGCTACTGCACTCCCCTCGCCACAGGTATTGGAGCAGTGCCAAGTAGCGTGCGCTGCCCCTGCGAGCGGCGGTCGCGGTAGCTCGCTCTACTACCGCGACCGCCGCTCGTTATACCACGAACTCGTCGGTTCAAGCGCAATAATTCCTTCACGCCAGCTATCCCCAGACCAAGGCCAGCCATCGCTTTAAAGAAGTCTTCCAGCGTTCACCATGGATGGATGGAAGGATGGATAGATGTGGCTGTACCCTTTAGATCTGGCGGCGGCTATCGCCACCTAGCCGTAATACTTAGTGAACAAACCATTAGATTTATCTTTTTTTTCTTTAAATAGTGAGGTTGAGGATTCGTATTTTGCAGTGACGGGTTTAATTTTTACTCGTGCCTTGACTTTTGCCACCAATCAGATAACCTCCTTCTAGTTAAGTCTACCCGCTTAAAATCCATTTTGCCCTCCCTGTTCGTAAACCCCAGTGCTTTGAAAAACTCTGCGCCATCATCCTGAACTATAGGGTGAAGCCCTTTACAGAACATTATCAAGTGTTCGGCACTTTCTTCTTCCTCTCCACACACACTGCATACTGTGTCTACTCCTTCGTATTTGGCCTGATATGTCTTGGTTCGCAACACTCCCATCCTGGCCTGAAACAGTAGAGAACTACCCCGAGTATTATCATAGATCCTTTCCTTGGCAATTTTCTGCTTAAAAGTTTGATAGATCTCTAGTGCGGACTTCTTAATCCTGCCAATTCTCCGCATGTCAGTCTTCGTTTCCTTCACTTTCTTCTTAACCGATAGGTCTTTTTGGTTTAGTAACCTGCTGTTTTCTAAGTATTTACCAGTCAATTTCCTGGTTCGATTCCTCCATTTTGTATCGACATTCTTTATGTACAAGTAGCTGAAAACCTTCCTAGCCCAACGCTCCTCTCCCATTTCTCTCAATCGCTGCTCAAATTTTATCTTGCTGCTAGCTTCCCTGCCCTCAAATGATATCTATCCCATATCGCCTTGTACTCCCTGATTTGGTGTATTACCGTGAGCTCATAGAGCAGGCCTACCTATTCCACGTTGCTTAATTTCTAATCTTGCTTGAACTTCTGATCTCATGCACAAGACCGCATTGCCGAACGTCAGCCCAGGAACCATGACCCCTTTCAATATTCCTCTCACAACATCATACCTATTGTGATTCCACAGTGCCCTATTTTTTATCACAGCTGCATTCTTGTTACCTTTACGCGTCACGTATATTTCGTGTTCCCTTACGTACTCGGTCGCATTGCTTATCCATACGCCCAGATATTTGTATTTATCTGTTATCTCTAGCGTGACCTCCTGTATTCTAATTCACTACCTTCGTTATCATTGAAAATCATGACTGCTGATTTTTGCTTACTGAATCTAAAATCTAAGCTATCTCCCTCATTATCACAGATGTCCATCTATCTCTGCAAATCTTCTTTGTTGTCGGCCATTAGCACTATATCATCGGCGTACAATAATGCTGGCAGTGCCTGATCAATGAGTTTTCCTTGTTTGACTAAAGAGAGGTTGAAGCCCAGTCCGCTTCCATCTAATTTGGCCTCTAATCCTTGTAGGTACATCATGAATATTAAAAGTGACAGGGGACACGCCTGTGTAAGCCCCAGTTTTACCTCTGCAGACTTGGATACCTGTCTTTCCCACTTTATAACTACCTTGTTACCTTTATAGATAAACTTTAAAAGATTAGTGACTACATGTTCCACGCCTAGTGTGTCCAGTATTCCTCACCATTCCTCTTGAACCACGCTATCGTACGCTCCCTTGATATCCAAAAATGCTGGCCACAGGGGCCTGTGTTCCTTTTCTGCTATTTCGATGAACTGCGTCAGTGAAAACAGATTGTCTTCCTACCCCCTGTGTTTCCGAAACCAAATCTGCAGTTCCCCCAGCACTCCCTGATCCTCTATTCATGCCTGCAGTCTTTCCTTTATAATCTCCATCGCCAGCCTGTCGACCACTGATGTCACTGTTATAGGACGGTAGTTGTTTATGACAGCTTTGTCCCCCTTTCCTTTATAGATCATGCTCATCCTGCTAACTTTCCATCCATCGGGAACTTCACCGTCGATTATTAGTTTGTCACTGCCTCTTTCAAAGCCTGCTTAGACTTCAGACCTAATGTCTTTATCAGCATAATTGGAATGCCATCTGGGCCAGTTGATGTACTTCTAGGAACCCCTTTCTTAGTCCTTTCCCACTCTCGTTGTGAAAATGGAGCCATTGCGCCACTTGATTCACCCTTGTCTATTGTGGTGCATAATGCACTTCTTTGTTGAAATTTTTCTGTCACCCTTGTTCTTATATATTCAATAGCTTCGTCCCCTTCTAGCCTAGCACCTTGGTCTGTAGTTATAAACCTCTGCTCTAGGTTCGTTTCATTTTTTAGGGAGTTTAGATGGTTTCGAAATTTCACAGCTGCCTTTCTATCTTTTTTATGTACTTCTGCCAGCCATTGAGCTCCCTTTCTTCTAATCTTTTCATTGATCAGAAGGAATGCATTCCTTCTACAACTTAAAAATGTTTTCCATTTTCTTTCAACATCATCTGTCGGTTGACCCCGCTGCTTAGCATGTCTGTGTTCCCTAGAGGCTTCCTGACGTTTCGCTATGGTTCTCTTAACTTCCTCATCCCACCAACGTCTGGGTTTGTGTCTTCTTTTCCGGGGTGACTTGTCACGCGTCTTAGCAAGCTCTAGCTCAAACAGTCTAATTAGATTCGTGTATGTCCACACTGTTTTATTATCCTCCGTGATTACTATCTAAATTTGTTTAGTGGCTATTTCAATTTGCCTTTCTGGATAAAAATTTTCCTGTAGTTGTTCATCTTGTCTATTTCCCACTTTCGCTGCTCTTCTAAAACTTAGCTTGATACGTTTGTGATCACTACCCAGACTTCTGGAGCCACCTTCATCTATGTGCATTCACCTGAGCTTATCATACATCCTATGTGACATCAGTGCATAATCTATCGTCGACTGCAGCCTTCCTACCTCCCATGTTATTTGCCCTTCACTTTCTCGGTACTGTTGAAAATGATCAAATCAAGCCCTTGACACATATCCATGATCATTTCGCCTGTCAGGTCGGTATGCCCATCTATATCTTCTATGTGCGCATTCATGTCTCCTAGTATAATTATCTCGCACTCTCTCCTAAATCCTGAATGTCCTGTGATATACACTCTACCATTGCTTGGTTTTCCTCTCTGGCCTTTGTTCCCGTCCACAAGTACACGAAACCAAGGAGTGTCATTTGACCTGCCATTTTCCCTTTTAGCCATAATTCTTCCTTGCACTCCTGCTTGACCCTTTGCCAGTCTGTACCTTTGTGAATGAATGCCCCAATACCACCCCCCTTTCTGCTGCCTTCTGTTCTGCTGCCTTCTGTTCACCGCAGCACGCGCCTCAGCGCCGTTCAATGCATGGCGCCATACGTGCACAACGCTGCTGCCTCGCATCCAATCAGAGTTCCCTTTGGGAACTTGGTGTGAAATTTTTGCCCCCACTGCGAAACTTTCATTTTAAATTTCTTGCACCGTGTGTTATGCCAGGTTTCTTTTCCCTCCTTCTGTTCCGTGTTTCATACTTGCCGCTGTATGCTCTTGTGCTATGTAATTGTGAGTGTCTGTCTTTTTGTTAACAAATGGCCTCGTTTCTTTCCGTCATCGCGTTCCTTCACAAAAACGAAGCGTCGTAAGGTTTGCGACGCCCTAACCTAGTGCTGTGGTAGTCCACCATGGTGGAGCTGTGCATATGGTGTGCAGCTGCTCTCGCGAACGTCGCTAATGCTATCTCGTCCACGGCTGTCGTATTTAGAAGCACGCGGAAGTGTAGAGGCTTACGTACTTTGCTACGTAAATGCACGTAAAAACATGATCGAAATTTTGGGATCCCTTCAGCGCGGTGTTTCTCACAATGATATGATGGTTTCGGGGCGTAAAAGCCCAGCTAATATTATCTGTTACGTGGTAATGCAGCACTGAGCAGGGATAGCTTAGCTGGGCTCCAATTACGAAGCGCATTACGTGGCTTGGCGTTATGCTGGCTACTCTAGCGCCACAGTTGCTGAAGGTCATTCAAACAAACTTAGTTATATTGCGAAAGCCTACTAGAGAATTGATTATTGATTTGTGGTGTTTAACGTCCCAAAATCACCATATTTTTATGATAGACGCCAGAGTGAAGGGCTCCGGAAATTTTGACCACCTGGGGTTCTTTAACGTGCACCCAAATCTGAGCACACGGGCCTACATTTCCGCCTCCATTACTAGAAAATTCACTTGTAAACATTTTGCTCTGAATATTTGTTGCAAATACAGTCCGTGTTCTACTAGAGTGCTAGTCAATTCATTGTTTGCGTTAGCGAGTGAGCGTATCTAACTTAGGATACCTTTGGCTTGGACAAATATTCGGTTCTCATTACGTGGATCAAATGTTCCTAACATTCTTACGTTCTTCCTGTAATGAGAACAGAAAAAAGTTAACAGAAGTGACGTAATAATATCATAATAACCATATAACAATAGTACATATGAATATACTTTTCCAAATTTTCGTAGCACAAGTGATGATAAATTATATGAGTTTTGCTTATAGTTAGCAGAATGTCAACGTCACATCGAGTCTTCCCGACTTTTCCTTTCGTTGTGTTGAATGTCCATATGGGAACAGGAGTCTTTAAAACCTGTAAAAAAAGCCCAAAAGCGTAAATATTTCATTAGGAATCAGTATACAACAAGAAAGATGTAATTTATTTATGGACAATAAACATCAACATGAATTAAATTGCAATTAATTGTTTCATGACTTCCTTAGTACTATACATTATTATCACACGCAGAAGCGGTTTTAATACGGGACTAGTGGTGATGTTTTTATGCAAGCGTAAGCGCTGGAGTATTATTATGATGATTAATATTGCCATCCTATGATTGATTGATTGATTGATTTGTGGGGTTTAACGTCCCAAAACCACCATTTGATTATGAGAGACGCCGTAGTGGAGGGCTCCGGAAATTTTGACCACCCGGGGTTCTTTAACGTGCACCCAAATCTGAGTACACGGGCCTACAACATTTCCGCCTCCATCGGAAATGCAGCCGCCGCAGCCGGGAATCGAACCCGCGACCTGCGGGTCAGCAGCCGAGTACCTTAGCCACTAGACCACCGCGGCGGGGCAATATTGCCATCCTAGCTCTATCAATATGTCGCACTCAGAATTTCAACGCTGGTATCACATATTCATAAAAAAACATCTATCCCTAAACATGTGCTTATTCCGTAGTCTGCGCTTCGTAGGGAGGGTTAATTTGCACAAAATAAAACGCTCATAGAGTAAGCATATCATATTTAGGCAAACTTATTGGGAGAATGATATGTGGTTTTTTTACCAAAACGAGGCACTTAAACTTCGCGCTATAAATGACTAATGATAAATTGGGGTGCGACTTTAGGGGTGCACGTTCTACGAAGAACAGATTGTAATGCCTTATGCGGATTAGAAAAACAGCATGAATGTTTGTTCATCTGTGGTTAAGTTACCGTGTGATTTTAATATACAGAGCGTTGACTAAAAATAACTGTGGGAATATACTGTTTGGAATCGGACTAGTTAGCATTCTATTGTAAACCTGGTTAGCACAAAAATACTTGGAGTACACATAAAAAAGTCGAGGACCTTGTCCTTTCTCATCCTTTCAGCATGTGCATTGTCTATTTTTTGTGCGCTGATCAAAAACTAATGCAGGCTTGCATAACTTAAAATGTTTGATTGGATCATGTTCTCCGTGAATTGAAGGTGCTATCTGAATATCGTCAACATATGAACATGACGAGGTGCCATAAATGTCGATAACGAGTCCGTGAAACGTTTGCTGTTACGTTCTATAGGTGAAAAAAATCACCATTTGCGAATTCAGGCATTAGTGAAATTGCAAAAGAATGATACAGGTAAATATTGCAGACCCAGTAAATACAATAAAAAGTAATGCAGCACCACATTTATCCATAATCGTTCATCATGCAGTACAATCACATGCAGCCGATTCTTAGAAACTAAAGGCAATGACCTTCTCCTAAGTCATCGTAGGATTTATTTCGTATAAAACAGAGAAGCAAATGTTGTTCACAAGTCTGTACGCTCTTTTTACCACAAATACCATAAATATTTGTCTCCTCTGATCTAGTACACATTCTTGAACTTTCGCAAACCACTTTCAGCACACGACAGCTAATTTACTTCGTTAGAACGAGCTGCGGTGTAATTTTTGAGTCTTGCGCTCACAAATATGCTTTTTGTTTGCTTCTTGAAATCACTGCCTTTATGACTCGATGATAGGGTAGTGATGCTGACACTTCACAACTTAAGCCGTACATGATAAGTGGGGCACCTTTAAATTGAATGAGTGGCCAGGATTTTTCATTTCAGCGGGGGCTCATTAACAAGAATATATCTGGCAGCGACAACACCATAGATGTAGAACGAATAGTACGTGTCATTTACTACGTGAATAGTAGTGTCATTTCCGTTTGAACAGAATTCGAATAACTTCAGTAGGCTGTGTATGGTTGTGTGTCAAGGTCCATCTCACCTTGGTGTGAACTGAACATAATAGTTCTTCAGCCATGTATGTACTTCCACTTCATGCAGGACTCGAGCGTGCAATAATAACTTACTTTACCTAGTATATGGCCGTGCACAAATGAGCTCATATCACCCTGACTGCATAACATGGTGAAGGGGTAAAAGTACAAAAGTATAACACTGGTATTGTAATCGATAGGACACCTAGTTCTTCGAAGTATACTTCTATTTCAGTGTTTCTCTACTAATTGCAGCTACGTCAACCACGGCACATGGTTCGTACATATAAATAACAAAGCTCAAATAACTCTGCACAAGAAAATACTTGTGGTTCACGTACATAGTTGGGGTGCCGTAAAAAAAAGCTTGTACTACCTTTCTGACACCGTAATTCAGTGGGGAAAATTTCAAATCGCATTCGAACGTTGCTAAATAGGCGCTGAAAAGTATGGCCGTGAGCAGTTTCCTTTCTTTCATGCCTTGTACTCTTGAGATAACGGCAAAGTGACTTTCATACAAAAGGTTTCGCTTCGACAGACTCAGAAGCAGCAGGTGGCAGTTTTAGAACAATGCCTAATGCATATAGCTTTTCCTTACTGTTCCCTGAACGAGTGTTTGTAAAGCCAGCTGCCTACTGCCTGGGTGGTACTTGCCACGGTTAAAATAAACAATTGTAATTTTCAGCACTGCGCACCCGGCAGTTTAACGCTCACTTAAAAACTATTTCTGGGTACGACAACAAACTTTTGTACGAAGCTGTAGCAGCGTCTTTAAAAGTGTAATGCGGTCGATTTATTAGGCCACGTTCGCAGCACATGCTTATTGGCTTTCAAGGCTTCCCTTTTTGGCCAGATCAGAGAACTCTGCCATGGGCAAACCAATGGCAGTGCTCATAAAACTAGCCCTGTCTAAATATGTGTGGATGCCTGCTGGAATAGTAGTGATGAAACCCACCAGGCCACTTTAGTGGTTGGACGAAGTACCACTAGGTCGTTAGATATTGCACGCAACTACGGAGATGCATGCTGTAATTGATACTGCGACTGAAGATTATGAGTAATCATGACTTTGCATTTTGTAGGAGTTCATGCTCTGAACAAAGCCTCGGTTGCGTGAATCCCATAATTTTACGCCAAGTACCAGTAAACGCAAGAAATATAAGGGAACGACGTTAATCAAGTATTATATGATAACGTGAAATAATGAATGTACGGTTTGGTAATATTGAAACAAAGTATTTTGAAATTCACCTCATTGATAGAATGTGCCGTCCACACATTCTGCGTGCTGTCATATTATGTTTTTGTGAGAATTCTTCTTTATTTTTTCTTTTCAAAGACGTAATTTTATACGATTGTATTATCACTGGTACGAGTTTAACTTTACACGACTCATGATAGCTGGATGGCACGATGGTACAACAAGAATGTTTCTTTTTAGAGCGAAGCTTTCGATGTCTAAATGAAATCAGAATTACTTACACGTCATTAATACTGCTGGTGCGTGAGTGCCAGAGAAATCAGGCAAACAATGCTTCTCGCCACTTTTCCACTAAAATTGTTGCCCACAGGTGAAAACGTCCGCCTAAATATCATGTGGGTGCATGCAATAGGCGAGTAATACATATAAGGAATAAGCTAAGCAGACACAGATAATTCCACTGAATGTGAGTTAGGTGGAATTAGCTTGCATGAAACATTTGTGTTTCCATATCGAAGTCTCAAGCCTGTGTGCTGCGTTGAATTCATTAGTTTTAATGTAGGTTTCGTTCTGAGACTGTTGTGAACCTGCAATCTGAAGGTACCTCTTGAAGCGATGACTATCAATTCAAGAACCCCCGGGCAGCAATCGCATCCTGGGTGCAAGGACACGAGCGGTCGGTGGCCACGTATGATCCGGGAAGAGATTTTGACCTTGTTGCTCTAAAAAGTTCGGTTCTTGATTGTATAATAAGGAATCAAGCCTTGCGACTGCCATGGTGTTTTGGCGTATCATTATTCGGCTTTTATAATTTCTCTTTTGGTGATTTGCAGCCTAAATAAGACATAAATATTTTATACGCGGTTTGATTTTATTATTGGAATATTTCAAGCCTGTGTTGGAATATTGTTGAATATTGCGCTTCTCATTTTTATAAGTTTTGCCGTGACGCACTTGGATTCGACAGTTGCAGTGGCTTTGCTGGTGATGTGGCGCGAATTATGTTCTTGCAAGAGGTGTTATAAATGCTTTGACCCCTGGGTTCAAATTTCTTAAATTTTGTAATGCACTTTGATATATCCTTGGATGCAAGAAACTTGTTCCACACTCGCAAGTCATACAAATGACGAGTGGCTGCAACAAAGAAAACAAAGCAAATGAGCATTACAGTAGTGGCGTCCGTGATGTTTATGTATATGCGACGGCATTTTGAGAGAATTATTTTGAACGAAATGACAGCAGAAAAAGAAACGGAACAAAGCACTTTTGCTGAATCTTCGTATTAGAAATACACAAGTATTTATCAAAAGACAACTATGAGCACAAAAAAAGGTAGGTACTATTCAATTTATTTACTTGACCGTTACTGGGATAATTTATATAATTTAGAAGGTTTGATAAACTTCTAAAAAATCTCATAATAGATGTAAGTTTTAGTGCACTTGAATGTGTCCCTTTACTGAAAATGGGTGCCAAACATGCTGTGTTAGAGATGCAATTCCTTCTGGATTTTTTTTAACATACTCTTCACTGCGTAAGCCTAACTGATCGAATGCCTTTAAAACCAGAACTCCCACTGGACTGTAAATAAATATAAGAGCTATGCCTTTAAAGATGATTTTCTAGGATTGGTGCAATTTAAATGTATTTGAAGCAGGTGGTGCTCATCAAGAATTTTTCGTTCAGATAACGAACAGTTTTAGTGGGTGTAACACAATACAGTATGAGAGAGAGATGTAAACGTTTATTTCCGAAACTGCACCGAGCAATGTGTCACCCTAAGGTGGGAGGGCTCCTTAGTCCAGGAACCTTCTGGCTTCTACTGTCCTCTTGGCGCTGGCGACGAGTTGTAGTTGGTCTTTCAGGTCCTCGAGGGCGAGCTTCGCCTCCCACGTTTCTGTTAGGTCTTCGTTCATCCGTCCTGCTTCATTATCAGTCGTGTGTTGTTGCAGATATATGCTTCTGGCAATAGACTGGCATGCAAGAAGCAAATGTGCCTGGGTGTCTGGTACGCTGCAAAGCGGGCACATAGAGCTATATCTCGTTAGGTAAAGAGGGTGCATTAGGGCTTCATGTGTGTATGTGCTGCTTTGCTGGCGTCTCAGTATCCCTCTTTCCTATTTTGTCAGTTTTTGGGTGTGGTGGAGGGTATACTCGTCGCTCCAGCCTGTAATGCTGGAATAGGTGTTTTGAAGAACTTCCGTCTCTTCAACGACGGGTCGGATATCCTGTGGGCAGAGGGCAGCCTGGCTGACGTGCTCGCGGGCAGCTGCATCGGCCGCTTCATTACCCTGCACACCCTCGTGCCCTGGTACCCATAATATACAAGTGTATGGGAGTGGAGTGGTTATATAAATAAATGCTAGTGGCTAAGGTGCTTGGCTAAAAAATAAATGCTAGTGGCTAAGTCTAGTGGCTAAGGTATTTGGCTGCTGACCCACAGGTTGCGGGATCGAACCCCGGCTGCGGCGGCTGCATTTCCGATGGAGGCTGAAATGCTGTAGGCCTGTGTGCTCAGATTTGGGCGCACGTTAAGGAACCCCAGGTGGTCGAAATTTCCGGAGCCTTCCACTACGGCGTCTCTCATAATCATATGTTGTTTTTGGGACGTTAAACCCTACATATCAATCAATAAATTTTTAATCGAGTATAACTACATGTTGTTGTAACATTTCATCCAAGAGTAAAAGTAATGTATGTGAAGCTGCATATATTGAAGTTTCTAAAAACAGGCATGAATTCGATGTGTTTTGTTATTATTTGATATGAAACTCTTGAAGAACATATACATTTTGTTACGAACTTAGGCGCGAAACTCTGTTTCATGGCATTTATTCACAACTATTCATGAAAGGCAGCTTCTTTAATTACCGAAACGTTTTTCCCGTTAAAATGTTCTTCTCGTAGTTGGAGACTTCGGCATATTTGGACCCTTCGTGTAAGCGAAAAATTGCGGTATCGGTGTAAACAGCCTCTTAGAATCTTCATACGCAACCAGTGCCAGATATATTCACCTCGTTCTTTGCCGGCTGATCTGCAACCTTTACCTTGCTCTAGTAAGCACTTGGGTCACGTTGACACTGATTTGGATGGGTTCCTTCCGATAACAGGTGCCACGAAACGCTGGGTTACTGGGGCAGTTGACCACCTCACGCCATACGCCGAGTCTCCTGTACTCCGACTGCTACAGCTCGCGACGTTGGCTACATTGTGCTTCATTGATTTATTTTCGGTCACAGGCCTGCCCAGGAGCTGCACAGTGACCTCAGTAATGTCTTCAACTTCTAAGTAATTAGGCTATTCGTAATATGTGCCAAGTGGTTGATCGCACGAGCATGGCGTACCACCCTCAAACTAAAGAAAATAAAGACAATTTCGACCACATGCTCAGTGAGGTGTGCTCAATGCACGTTACATCCAATCCAGTAAATCGGGACGCTATTCTATACTTCGTGACCACTCTCGGAACACTGTGTATTCCCTATTTCTTACACTGTGGTCAACACCACTCGACTTAATTCGGCTACACTGGTTTATTCTTATAAGTATGTGCCCATATAAGACCCAGTAGGGCATGCTGAAGAGTGCCGTCACCTTGAACGGGCCTTTACCACAATCGACCAAGAGCTCCAGTGGAGAATGGTAGGCGTCACCACTTCCGCGCCCACCCGGCTTTCCTCTTTTAGTGCTTGTGTGGTTCTGATTTCCTACCACTGTATCTCGTCTCCAAATGCGGTGATGGAGGAATTGCCGAACCCACTGACCCATCAGCTATCCGAGTGAACCCGGAAAATCATCTTCGAGCATGCACATCGGTAGCACTGTTTCGGAAACTCTCAATATCGAGCATCGCAAGCGTACTACAATCCACAAATTGTGACGAGCTACCTAGTTGACGCACGCCTCCTTTTTCTTCCATGACGCCATTGCATCAATTTTTTTTCAGTGGTCTGTCTGTACCGTGCATGGTTCGCTGATGTTGTGCGCTCTTAACTTCCGAAGCCTATCTCTTTATGTAGTTGCCAACCCGTCTTCGGCACGCAAGGCATTGAGAGCGCTGTTGCACTTCTTGCGGGCAAGTGGTCTTAGAGACAGGCTGTAAGCAGCGTCGTGGATCAAACTGTCGTGGATCGAAGCAGGGTCATGGATTGAACGAATACAGGGCACTGTATTCCCTGACGAAGGCAGGCCCTCCTGCCGAAACGTAGGAAGTAATAAACATTTTTGCACGTTCGTTCATCGTTTCTCAATACATACACAGCACACACAGCACTGGATCCCCAGAATTAATTCTCTCTCTCTCTCACTATATATATATATATATATATATATATATATAAGGGATCGTTTTCCTGTGTTTTGACACAATAATAATAGTAATGAAATCTAACTAATAGACAATGATGCCAAGGAAAGTATATATAGGGGATGGTATTAGACCAAATTATAATGTATATGTGAAAAAAGAAAAGTGGGTGTAAAAATAACGTGCCGTGGTTCGTTGCACTAGGGAGCGCACTTGCAGGTACGTTAACGTGTTCGGGAGTAGCCGGAATATACCATGACACCACAAAAATTCGCTGGTGAATAAGTGCTTGCTGTCTCGATTCCTGGGTTATGCGCTTCCCAACGAGACAGAAGTTTGTCAAGTGTACACCTTAAAAGCATGCGTTGTGCTGTCCATATAAGCGCCAGCAGGCACGAGGCCATTGCAGAAGCTAACACAAGGGCTCACTAGCACTCATCATGAAAAACTGATTGAGGTATTCTCAATTTCACTCTTTTTCGTCTACCTTTGCTCTATTGATTATGGCAACAACTACGACGTCGCTTCACGCAGGCATGCGTGCCTAATAGCTGTGGTCTAAAATACTACCTTGAAGTGAAGGCAATTGTGAAATGTCGAGACACCGCCCTAAAGTTAGACATTGCGTTAGTGTGTGCGTGCGTATGCGTGTGTGTGTGACAGAGAGTTATGGCGCAACGAACATGAAGTCATCAGTAATGACGTAAGTCTTTATTCGCAAATTATTTTTTCACAATTTCTCGGTTAACTATCATTAATATTGTGTCTAGACACGGCTAGCTTCAGAACATGCAAGACGCAAAAGAAGTGTAAACTTACGGAGTAACGGCATCGTGATTCTGATGACAGAGCACATGCATTTCTTATTAAGATAGACAAGTTCATTTACAATCGTTAGCCTACCATCTGAAAAGGAACCGTATAGTCAGATGCATGAACGATACATCATAAAGCTCGAGTTACCAGTTTCCTTGCATTCTGATACACAACGCTAACCCATCAGGCCTTTTCTTCTTTCTTGCTCAGGTTACAACGGGAGATAGCTTAAAAAAACTAATTACACAACTGCACTATAAATACGTGCGTATGGCGCGTATTCACAAAGTGTGTTTACGTCGTAGGATATAACGTTATACAGGGCAGTTCGAGTGAGATATTGCATTACATTTGACAGAACATACAGAAAGTTGATTCGTTGACGAATTCTACTTTATATTAAATTCAAGCAATGTAGGCTGCATATCACAAATGCACGTTTTGAAAGAAGGTGATAGTAATTTCAGACGTCGGGTAGCAACTGATTATTGCATAATATCCTGTCCTGCAGTTAGTATTGGTAAAGCTAGTCTGCTAAATGTTGCCGCTGCAAGTCTGCAAATGTGGCTGCTGCTAGCAGCTTTGCCGCTGCAAGCAGCAATTAGTAATTAGTTTAAGCTTAGTCCTCACTAGGCTTGTGCACTAAAATACAGATGTAAAAAAGAAAGCAAACGATACTAGCAATTCTTGATATAATTTTTGCCACGGCGTAGGCCCGTTGTTACTATACGGTGACATTCACAAGGTGAACACAATGCAAGCTTCCAGTAATTAAGCACAGAACGCTATGAATAAAAAAATGCCCTAAAGCGGGTCGACATTGATTAATATTTTATGAGTGACTACAACAATAATTGTAGTGGAAGCATGCAGTTGGCATGCCTCCACTACCCAAGTAGTCTCGTTCTCCACTTGCCTCCACTATATATTGCTATACTCTACCTCCTTCCCACACTCTCTTACCTATCACATCCCTTGCTGTATTATAATATACAAGAATATTATATGCATTTTTTCTCCACTATCCCTCACCCTCACTTCTGTTTTCGACGGTATGTATGTCGGGTTTAACGTCATAAAACCACTATGATAAAGACGCCGTAGTAGAGGACTCCGGAAAGGTCTATCAGCTTGGGTTATTTAACGTGCACCCAAATCTGAAAAAGTGGACCTGCAGCATTTTCGCCTCCATTGAAAATGCAGCCGCCGCAGCCTGAATACAATCCCATGACGTGCGGGTGAACAGCCGAGTACATTATGCACGAGACCACCGGGGTGAGGCTCCCTATCTGACGTTTTTGCTCGACATTACTATACATGGTTATATCATGCTCCGCTCTCTTCTTTCCTTATCACTATTCATAGATGGACTGCAGATTCTATTTCTCAATTTATTCCCTCTCCCTCGGCCTCCTTCGTTAGGCTGTGCATGACACTTTCAGTATGGGACATCGTTCTGATACTTGGCTCATATATTCGGCATCAGACTACAAACTGCACAAAGACGACACCTAAGAACATAAAAACACGTACACATGAAGAGCAAATCATGTGTGCGCGTTTCGGTGTTCTTACGTGACCTCTTTTGCGCAGTTTAAATTTTTATAGCAACCAACGTCTCCAACCACATCTATACTTCTGCACTTTGAGCGTGTGTGTCTTTTTATAATTTGAGTCCCTTTCAAGCAGATTTAACAAGTTTGATGGGTGATAATTCGCCCTATAGAACAGTTCCGCAACAAAGCACTGGCGCAGGAAAATACAGTCACTCCAAACAGAGTAGTGGTTTTCAAACAGTCTTTTCCACACACGAAGTGGTGAAAACACAGCATGCAGGAGCATATACGAAGCATTTGGAGATGCCTGCCAAGGTATAGCGCGCCAGAACATAAGCTCTGTTGTGTGGACTACACCAATATTACGGAAGATCACTTTTGCTGGTCGAGGGACGCAGCCTCCTGCCCCCCGCTGTCCACGCATGTTTACCGAAGGAATCTGCGTCGGGTGGTTGCTCTACATGAAGCGATTGTGGACATGCATTGCATGGGGGCTAACATTATGGCATGCGTCCTCCATGCGATGCAAATGGCATGTTGGTTTCATTTTTGATTGAGTCACATTGCTCCTCACAGCACTCGCTTGATTTTACCTACGAGTAGAACATGCGATGCGTGAGGCGACTTTATTGATTAAGCCTGTATACAGAACATGACGGCAACGACAAAACCTCTTCATAAAGGCCTATATAGTTACTATCGCAATACTATTTTCTGATGATACTTGTTCAAATCAAGATGTGATTACAGGCCTAACCCCATGTACCCGTTGGAGCGCGTCGGCGCGTGCATTTTTGACGCGGCGCAGCATCCTCTCCTTATAGAGATAGTGGGCGCCTAGCTATGCGAAGCTGTGCGCTTTCTTTCTCCATATGGTAGAGGGCTCGGCGCCGCGTCAAAAAGACATGTCCTGACGCGCTGCAACGGATAAGTGGGGTCCGACCTTGAAAGACACGCCGTATAGTTTGGGACATTTGATTAAGGTTGACCGGCTGGGGTTGCAGACACATGCACCTGTCATGTTGACTTATTAAAAGTTAAATGTTTACTAAAACAGGCGTAGGACTTGCGTTCAGTTGGTCTACTTTTAAACCTTCGTTGTCGCAACATCAGAATAATGCTAAGACATTACAGATGCTTCTTTCCCGAAAAAGTTGTTTTCGCTTCAATAATTGAGTTTTCTGTTTTGCCAGTAAAGCTTTAAATGTGACATGTCAATGCGATGTCATTTCAACTTTACCTCAGTCGGTATTATTGACAATTTAGGCTCAACGAAGGACGACGACGAAGTGTCTCTTCATAGAACGCTTCTGCTTTCGGCTCCGAGCATTGTTATCAAGTTTTTCGCTTTTTACGGGAGACGCTGCTCCCTGCCCCAAGGCGACGGACGCGGAGTCATCCACTGGTCCGCCCAGCCAGAGGTCTGCTATGGCGAGCTCCTCGGTAAATCAGCGCGCCTGGCCCAGAACCAGTGAGGCCAACGGTGATAGTCACTGCATCATGGCTGTGGACGTGGAGCCTTCTGCGGCTCTGTCCGACCATAGACCACCTTTGGCAAGCTCGTCGCGGAAACGAAGCACCTGTTCGAGCACCAGCGAGGACACGGAACTGTACTCGGCCACTGGCGACGACTCGTCGGACGACGACTTCGAGACCGTGAGAAGCAGGAAGGCCAAAAGAAGAAGTATCAAGTCGTCTTCACCAGCAGGGACATTAACGTCTCAGTCAAAAGGAGAATGCTGGCCGCACACCATCCTCTTCATGCCCGAGGACTCCACCATCAGCCTTCGAGCAGTAAACAGGCAAGCTCTCTCTATGTACTTTGAGGGGGTAGCACCAAACGACATTAAGGATATCCGGGTGAACACGCGGAAGAATATTCTAGCTGTGGACACAATGACTGCCAGCGCCATAGACAAGCTTCGCAGAGTATCAGATTTGGGAGGCATCAAAGTTCGACCGGTTATTCCAATGGACGGTGCCTGCACGGCGGGAGTAATCTACGACATTGATTTGGCCATAGCAAACTCGGACCTCCCAACTCTCATAAAACCAGCGAACGAAGGAGTTCTCATCGCGAATGTACTTCGCCTCGGAAACACCCGATGTGTAAAGATAATGTTCAAAGGAGATTCCATTCCGTCGCATGTCAAAGTGGGACACTTCCGACATCCTGTTCGACCATTTGTCCCTAAACCACTCCAGTGCCATAACTGCATGAAAATTGGTCACATCAAGAGTGTATGTACAAACACCACAGTATGCCCCCGATGCGCTGAGCCGCACACTGCAGACGCATGTCGGGCAACAAGTCTGAAGTGCAGAAACTGTGATGGTCCGCATGATGCTGCATCCAAGGAATGCCCTCGGATTAAGAAGGAAATCGCCATTATCAAACAAATGGTTAGGGACAATTCAACCCACAGAGAGGCTGCTGAAAGGGTACGGCGGCGACGTAGTCGCCGACGGAGGCGTGTAGGACAGAGTGTTGCGCATAACCCATTTCCTCCGAGCACGAGTGAAGTAGTAAGCACGAAGCGAAATGAAGTGGAGAAGCTCACAGCTGCGGATGAGTGGCCTACGCTTCCGCGTACGCAGCCTGCAAAGGAGCCTCCTGCGAGGCCTCGCCGCCCTACACCTTCCACCGAGTCTACTTCCGTTGAGGATGTGTCAAGGGTCGATCGACAGATCATCCCGATGTTACGATCCCTCGTCGCTGTCATGGCAGACATACTAAGAAGCCTGGGAACTCCAACCGCTCGAAGCGGGTTACAGGTGTTGGACGCGCTGAGCCCAGTCCTCGCCTCCCTCGCGTAGAGTCATGGCAGGAGATCAACAATCGTTCCGCAAAGACGTCAGAGAAGCATCAGTCATCCAGTGGAACGCAAGAGGACTTAGATCACGGATTTCCGATTTTCGTCAGTACGTGTTTTCTAACCGTTTCCCAATCATCGTAATATGTGAACCGAAATTATCAAACCCGATCAGGCTATCCGGCTACGAATCAATCCCGTCCAAAACCCGAAACGAAAGCAGCAAGGTCATTGTGTATATTCGTCGGGAGCTTACCTACATCATTCAACCTGTGTCGCCTCATGATGAGAACCAATATGTTTGCCTGACTGTGAAGCAGAAAACCCTCACCTTCACATTAATAGGTGTCTACTTATCTCCCTCAGCCCGTTTTGATTGCCAAAGACTGGATGACATTCTTTCGAGCGTCCCGGATCCGTGGATAATTATAGGGGACTTCAACGCCCACCACCCAATCTGGGGAAGTTCAAAAGTCAATACCACGGGCTGGAGGCTGGCTTCATTTGTATCGACTCATGAACTGTCTCTACTTAATGATGGGAGCCCTACATTTCTGCGAGGATCAACGTACAGCAGCTGTTTGGACTTGACGTTCGTGTCACGTCGCTTCGCCACAAGCGTTAAGTGGTTTTTAGACATCGAGACACATGGTAGCGATCACATCCCCAGTTATCTCACCATCGAAGGCTTTGCTAGCGACCACCCGCCGAAAACCGTACGGAGGATCGATCTTTCAGCATTCACAACCAACATTGAACACGCTTGTGAAAAAGGCTTAACCTCTGGCATTGAGCAAGCGATCAAACAAGCAGCGCAGAGTGCGATGCGCACGCTGGCATACTCTTCAAGGCCCTCAGAAACGGACATGGAGTTAGAGCGACTCCGTGCGACTCGTCGGCGTGCGGAGCGTAGATATCGACGCACAAAATCCATTCAAGATCTACGGATGGCCAGGCGCATGCAAAAGAAGATCCAGCGTCGTATAGACAAACTGGAGTTTCAACGGTGGGCGAAATTTTGCGCGAGTCTAGACCCTCGCAAACCGCTTTCTCAAATATGGCGAACCGTGCGAGGCCTACGCATATTTCCCCAACAACGTTTTCCGTTTAAAGCCTTGGCCCTTTTCCAAAATAGAAGGGATATCGAGGTAGCGGAAGATTTTTGTAGGAAGATTGCGGGCCCGCCAAATTGCACAGAAGCCCTTACTGCTGATTACACGCCACATTCACTTGACCCGCACCTGGACCTGCCTTTTTCAATGGAAGAACTGAATGTAGCTCTTGCTTCATGCAATCGATCGTCATCGCCTGGGCCGGATGGCATATCATACCGCCTATTATGCAATCTCGGTGATCGAGCACGAAGTGCTTTGCTGGAAGTATTCAATGAGTCTTGGAGAGATGGAACGGTCCCCAGAGAGTGGAAAACAAGCCGGTTGGTTGCACTTCTCAAACCTGGAAAATCGCCTCTAGAGCTGACATCATACCGCCCAATAGCGCTGGCTAGTTGCGTAGGGAAGCTGATGGAGCGAATGATCCTTGCCAGACTCGAGTGGTTCCTAGAACGCCATAGAATATATCCAGACGCCATGGCCGGTTTTCGTCGTCTTCGGAGCTCCACTGACAATGTCATTGACCTGGTGACCTACGTACAACACCAGAAAATGAGCAGACGGTTATCTGTCGCACTATTTTTAGATGTCAAAGGAGCATATGACAATGTTTCTCACGAAGCCATACTTGACGCCCTCGAGTCAGTTGGTTTGGGTGGGCGAGTGTACCGCTGGATCCAATGCTACCTACATATGAGATCATTGTTTATGCAAACTGAGGATGGGCCGACTTCTGATTATTATACACACCGTGGTGTTCCTCAAGGTGGTGTATTGAGCCCCACACTGTTCAACCTGGTTCTGATCGGTCTCGTTGAACGCATACCAGATTCCGTGCAGATATCTCTCTATGCAGATGATATTTGTGCCTGGACATCAGGTGTAACACGTCCTCAGGTACGTGCGAGACTCCAGAAAACAGCGAATTCAATATCGGCGTACCTTAGAGAACAAGGCCTCGAGATTTCTCCTGAGAAATCGGCGCTGGTCGCGTTCACGCGGAAGGCAATGACGTCATATCCCATCGCCATCGATGGACACAGTGTCTGCTACGCCAGGACCCACAGGTTTTTGGGGGTCACGATCGATCGAAATCTCTGCTGGAATCCCCATGTGGCCACTCTAAAGAAGCGCCTAACGGCCATCGCACAACTTTTCAAGTTCCTCGGAGGCAAAACGTGGGGCACATCAGTGCACGCGATGTTGCATTTGTACAAAACGCTGTTTCTGGGGTACCTGCGGTATAGCTTGCCGGTTCTGACGAACGCTTGCAAAAGCAGTATACGCACAATAGAAAACGCCCAGGGCCAGGCACTCAGAGTTTGTCTTGGATTACCACGCTGTACATCAACAGCGGAAACCATCGCAATCGCCAAAGATCATCCGGCCACAGTGCACATTACTTTGGAGGTGCTTAGAGCTCATATTAGACACCTTGCTCGCGCCCCTGCCCACCACCTAGCTTCGCTTCCAGAAGATCGACCGAGTGCCTCCTTCTGTAAGAGAGTATTGACTTTCCGTGAGTGCCTTCCAACAGTCTACACGCCTCCGGAACGGATACTAACACCTCCTTGGTGCTTGGACCGACCAAAACTGCGCTTGACAGTGCCGGGGATTCGCAAGAAGGCGGAGCTCTCGGCGCCAGCTTTAAAGCAGATGATTCTACTCATGCTACACGAAGAATACAAAGACCATGTCAAACTTTACACGGATGGCTCGACAACTATTGGAGGATCTGCAGGAGCTGTGATCTTCCCAGCAAGAGCCGAAACCATCCAGTTCAGAACGTCACACAAGACGACATCGACAGCCGTGGAGCTCGCGGCACTCCGCAGCGCACTCCGCAGGATTGACCAAGAGACACCACAAAAATGGAGCATTTTTACTGATTCGAAACCAGCTCTCCAATGTCTACACAATGCTCTACGTCGTGGACCTCAAGACCAATTGGCGCTCGAAATACGACAACTGTACCATCACCTAATAGACGAAGGACATGACATATCTTTTCAGTGGTTACCAGGCCATTGCGGCATCATCGGTAACGAGCATGCCGACAATGCAGCTAAGAATGCTCACGAAAATGGAGTGATGGAACCTATTCCACTATCAAGAAGCGACGCAGCAGCAAAGATTAATACGCTTGCGCAGGATGTCGCAAGGTCTATGCGGAATACGCCCGGTTTTCTCCACACCCGTCTTCACCGCCTGGACCCATGCCTACGACTTACTATTCCATCTGGCCTACCCCGATCCGAGACGACCCTTCTCTGCCGTATGTGGCTTGGGGTGTCTTTCACGAACGCTTTTGCCTGCCGCATCGGAATGAGAGACAGCGCTACATGCGACCATTGCGACAATGACGAAACAATTGAACATATTTTATGTCAGTGCCCCCAGTACAGCTCTCAGCGACAGTCCCTCTCAGCAGTGTTTGCTCGCCTCGACGACCAACCATTTTCTGAGCAGTCAATCTTGGAATGTCGGAAAGATCGAGCTTCACGCCAGAAAGCAACGAAGGCGCTGATGAAGTTTCTGCGAGCGACCCGCCTCGTTGAACGATTGTGACACTACTGTGTGCGAGTGTGTGTGTGTGTGTTTGTGCTTCTCTTTCTCCCTTTCCCCTTCCCCAGTGCAGGGTAGCAAACCGGATATGTTTTCTGGTTAACCTCCCTGCCTTTCCGCATTAAATTTTCTCTCTCTCTCTCCCTCTCTCTTTTAGGCTCAACTAGCTAACGTCCACCATTCATAATTGCGTTACTATTTTTTCAAAACAGATATTCGTTGTTCCACTAACAACCTCTGCTTACAGTTGCTGTTTCGCTCCCTGAAAACCTACGCCAGGTTCATGTCTTCAGGGAGCGGCACAGAACACAAGTAAGCGGACGGAGTGAGCACGAGCCAGACGAGGGGCAGTGCGTGCGACACGCGCAGCTGTCTGAGGCATTGTGTCAGGACATCATAGCTAAGCGTGTGATATTTTCTGCACACCCCCGACGTAACTATAATGTCAAGCAGTTTGGGTCTCATATGGTTTTGTATCGATTGAGTTGCATGCAATAAAGGCAACAAAGCTTGAAGACTGCGAATCATGAAGGGTTAGCAATCCATAGTTAAACTTTTCAGACATTTTTGAGCCCATCCTGTGAGCCTTTTGAAGAAGAGTGTTCAGATAGGGTGAGTGTATAACTAAGCGTAATGTACTCTTTCTTGTTTAATACCTTTCGGTCTTACGAAAATTGTGCTCTTGCTTCTTTTATCGAATGCTCCCTCCATTAAGATGTTTTTCCTGAAAATTAAATGGATAGTTCAATAATTACACGTGATAGACATTATATAACCAATATTTAGGTGTATAAGCGTACCTTTCACGTCCTTCAAAGAAAAGGTGATGATATGCTATGGAATTCTTGGTTATGTATCGCATTACGTCCATTTCACACCGAGGTATGCCTCCTTTGGTTGCATACAATGTCCATATGGGAAATGATGTATTTAAAAACTGAAAAGAATGTAAAATAATTTTAGAAATTTTGTTTTTTCTTTACAAAGTGCAATACTGCGAATGTGGGTTTCCGCGTACGAGTTAGAGGATCCACACTGGGAAGTACAAAAATTATCAAAGCTGTTGTTACAACGCAGTGCTTTTTTGTGGTCCAGATACTAGGATAAACTCCAGCTTTATTCTGTGGACCAGACCATGAAATAAGCTATATCTTAATTCTGTGGACCACACCAAAATTAACTCATGCGGTGGGGCGTGTGACGAGACTGAGGTTAACGTAACCACATGTCTCTATCACAGTTTCTCTCACTGACAGGCAGACTTGTTTGCCGTGATTTAAAAAGGACCGTACTAAAGATGTCATATTCGGACGAAGGGTGCCTTAATCTATTGATAAAAAGTCGAAAAAAGGACGCGGAAAAAAAATGTATGCGCTGGAAGTTGGAGGCCACCTTTAGCACTCTTCTACCTGGCCAGGGTGGTTACGAACGAACGCAGGAAAAGATAAGCGTATTTGGTTTGGTCGAGATCGCTTGAATCACTCGCTTAACCAGAAGCCCACTTTACCTCAATTTGCCTGGTAGACTTGTGAATTTTAAGCAGCCGTTCTTCATGCGCGCAGTACGATTATGTCATGCAAAAAAGCGCAATGAAATTGGCGAGGCGTTCTCGTGGACACTGGACACAGAACGTTTTGTACTTCAATAAAGCTCACCTGCACGTCTCACCATTAACCTTAACGTCTGAAGACGTGCTGTATCCAGAGACAGATGGAGTTGCATCGGGTTAACTGTGGCACGCGCTTATTCGCATCACTCTTATGTGCTGAGGCGTAAGTGCCATTATCCGTACGTGAAGTTAGAAAACTTCAGAAACCTCGTATTTTGTTTCTCCTTTTCTCCTTGAGCAGAAGTGTTGCCACTGTTCTTCGCAAAGTTTATGGCTCCCATGCAAACGTTAGTACATTTTTGGTCTCACAGGCAAATAATCAGTCTCCCATGCAAATGTTAGGGCACTTTTTGCATGACAGATATGTCCTGTGGTGAAAGAGGCTTAAGTGTCCTGCACGCGATAGTTCAAAGCGAAAGATTTTTAAATGGCCATTATTTCTTATTACTGTACGCCCGAGTTTGTTTGCTTCTTCACTTTCACACTACGTGTTTTTCTACTGTGATACAAGAATAATCACCTGTGTCAGGCTGTCCACTAGCCAGGTCAAGAAAAAAGGGAAGAGGTTGATTTGTGGTCCTGGCCCTCCCTCCCCTCAATTTTGTCGAAGGGGGTATTTTGCTGCAAATAATGATTAAAATCAGGTGTTTTTTTAAAAACAGGTAATGTTTTCAGGAACTGTCCCCCACCCGGAAAAAAATTTCTGGCCTAGTGTCAAGCTAGCAAGCACGCCAAAGGCGGGCTTCACTGTTTGAGCCTATCAGCATACGTGTTTTCAATCTTGCATAACTGTATACCTGTGCATTTTTTTATTTCTGATAGGTGCACGTGCGTTTTTTTTCTCTTACTCTCTAACCATTCTTTCTTGCCCCGCGCACATTAGCTCTTTGGTGTGGACCCCGAACATGTATCTAATCTTGTGATTCGAGAGAGCAGTCGCGTTTAAGAAAGAAGGGCACAGTGCTTTTTCTGTGAACCCGAACACCAATACACCATAGAGAAACTCTATTGGATGAATAAACTACCTCAATCATGTAATTCATGAGAAAAGCATCATCCAGAGAGGAGGGCTGTTTGGGCTGCAGATGCCACAGCTAGCGCGTGATTCGCAAAATACCCGTAATGCTTGTGCTCTAGTCCGGTCAAAAGAACAAAACTTGCAATGATGTCATAATGTGTCCCAGAGAGCAGATCTAGGTATATATTATGGTCTATTGCGCAGAAACTGTCCTCAAAAGAGGTGGGCTGCTCGGGCTACAACGTATTCTTCAAGGCCTACAGCGCGCATGCTTATGATGTGGTCCACAAAATAAAAATATGATTTTCATGGTCTAGTGCGGAGAATAATGTAGGAGTTCATCCTGTCATATGAACCACAATATAGGCACTGCGTTATCACTACCGAAAATCATTGCGAGTCAATTTACTTTAACGGACACGATAGCAAGACAATGTTCTTATCAGTTTCATGCCTTACCGCATACCACCTATATTTGCAACGGTGCGGCTCACGCACGCGCCATTTGACCTCCACAGTTTTATGCGTCTATTATCGCACGTTATACAAACGCATTCATGGCTATTGGCTGCTATTTACATGAGATAAGGATTGCGGGCGATAAAACGTAGCATTACGTGATTTTTGCGGGAGCTCTTCGTTCGTTGGCGAAGGTGCCAAAACAAACAAACAAAAACAATGAACAGCACCTCACTACAGTGTGCCTCTGATGCGAGGTTCAACAAGGCGTCAATTACTTGCAGAATTTCTATGAAGAACCAGCTAATCTCAATATTTGTTTGTGGTTTTTGATTTTACACCGCATTTTCTACTTTGAAATATCAAATCAACGTGCCAAGCTTGATGTGGAGTCTGCATGGTTCTGTGAAATGTTCATTCTGTGCTCTGTTTTACTGATGGCAGTGAATATGGTGTGAAAGCGTGCACGTAATTGAGGCGCTGGTAAACTAATTCACTTAGATAGGTGGTCGCGTTGCCACATGTTTATTTCTCTTTCACTGTTAGATAGTTCAGCAAATTTGTGTTGTCTGCATTGATTTATGATTGATATGTGGGGTTTAACGTCTCAAAACCACCATATGATTATGAGAGACGCCGTAGTGCAGGGCTCCGGAATTTCGACCACCTGGGGTTCTTTAACGTGCACCCAAAATCTGAGCACACGTGCCTACAACATTTCCGCCTCCATCGGAAATGCAGCCGCCGCAGCCGGGATTAGGTCCCGTGACCTGCGGGTCAGCAGCCGAGTACCTTAGCCACTAGACCACCGCGGCGGGGCTGTGGTCTCTGCAGAAACCACAAGTGAGCTAACGAGATAAAAGAAATAAATTAATGCAGCTTGAAGCTGCTGATGCCATGCCTAGAGGAAGTGAGATGCTTGGTGGCCATTGTTTTTTTTTATTTTTTTCTCTTTTTCTTTTTTTGCCCATTTCCAAGCTCTTCAAGATTTTTCTTTCTCTATTCATTCCTATTTGTTTCTATTCCGACGCTTACGTTCGCCTTTATTTGTCTTTCTTTCTATTTCGGACATAATTTTTCTTTTTCTCAATATTTATAAGTAAGTTTGCCTGTCATATGCCAATTGACGTCAGTATACGCCTGCCAAAAGTGCTCGGCTCTTGATATCACTATCACGGCGTTCAAAAAACAAAACTTTTTTTCGTGCTAGCGCGCCTAATATGCTACAGATGGCTCTGATATACCTTGTTTCGCGAATGTTACGCCAAGCTACATGAGACAATTGCTGCGTACGATACGATGTGACAGTATGCGACAGCCGGTGTTCCTTGGTGCTGCGCCCTTAATACAATTGGTTCTTCTGTCTTTTAGCGACGTTAGAGAGTCCCGTTCCTACATTTTGGTTCACGGTAAACTTATTGCCTTGGCATAGCCAGGGCAATGGTATGCGGTGTCCAACAAAGACCACAACTTTTATATGACATTTGTGTATAGGTAACTCAGGAGCAGTGGTACAGGGAACTTTAACGTCCGTAGAGTGTTTCCGTTTGCGCCATGCACTGGTGAGCCGTACGCTATTGAGAGCAGTTTTGTGAGAAATTGCGTACGAATAATGCTCTTAACACGTATTCTATTCAATCAATACTCTCGACAGCATACTACTCACGATTATTAGGTGTAAACAGGGATTTCGGCTTGAGCTTACTTAATTCGTGTATTTTTTTTTTGCTCGCGGGTGTGCATGCACACACGATACATGTGTGGGCATACACAGAGGTGAGGTGTGAGGCTGGTTTCTCGCTATGCCACTGGCGTATTCTATATGTACTCATTTCTTCCCTATGAAAACAGCCACGGTATTGTGTAATTTACAAGAGATTCAGGATCAATGTAAAATAGTTGAAAACTCAACGTAGTGAGACGTATGTTCTTTACACAAGTAAGTGTTTGGTTTTTTAGTAAGTACAAGCACGCAGATAAAATGTATTATTACACTTTATAAGTTCGCCTTCTCCGTTGGTTTAGAAAGCAAGTCGTGTTAGATCAAAGGGGAACGTGGAACTGGGTCATCACAAGATGATATCTGAGTGTCTATTGGTAGATGGCTCTAAATAAAGGAAGTGTTCTAGGGCACGGCATGGTGACGTGGACGGTAATGCATCGTTGGGCCCAGTCCCAGAACAGCTTCATGACTGAGAGTGTCTCGGTGACCGAAGAATGTCTCGGTGTCTTGGTCACAGACGAATTAATAGCCGCACTGACAGGTGGCTTGATACTGAATATAGAATAAAGGTCACTGCTATATGATTGGCTATAGAAGGCGTGGCTACCACATGTGCTTTCTGGTGCTTCTCAATTCCACCAATAACGCAATGACAAAAACACTGTGAAGAAACAATAGAGGACCACCGAAACGCTCTTAAGAACGAAGCTCTTTAAGGTCGAGGCTTGTTCGTTGGCAGCCTTAGCATGACGATTATGATGCTAATGAAAATGAAGATAGTGATGAGGATGATGGACAACGACTGGCTTGTGCAGTATATGACGCCGCAACATGCTCTAGGACGCATTTCGTATGACTGAAAACAACTAACAGCTACCGAGGA